GGTAGTTAGTTTTGGTTGTCGTCGTGTGTGTGTGTGTGTGTGTGTGTGTGTGTGTGTGTGTGTGTGTGTGTGTGTGTGTGTGTGTGTATGTGTGTTTATGTTTCCGCTTTTTTGTACCTTCATAACTCCATAACGCATCTATGGATTGTGGTGATATTTGGTATACTGGTAGGTGTTAGGGGGGCGAAGGTCAAGGTCAAATATGGGCCTCCTGGTGGATGGCCTTGGTACTGCAGCAGCACTTCCGGTTTAATGAGGAGTCTGCCAGACAGGGTAACAGATGTCTGATTGTGTCGAGGCTGCCCCGGGCTTGCGACCTGGTTTGATTAATGAGAGGTTCTTCCTCAGGGAATAAGGCGACCTCTGTGCGCTATGATGTGGAAAATTTGAGTGTTGAGGTGGATGGACACCCAGTGTTGACGTAATTTTGGCACTGAGATCTAGTTACCTCCATGAAAATGGAGGTATTGTTTTTGGCGCGTCTATGTGTGTGTGTGTTTGAGTTTCCGCATATTTGTAGTCAGCATAACTCCATAACGCCTTTATGGATTGTGATGATATTTGGTATGCTGGTAGGCCTTAGGAAGCCAAAGGTCAAGGTCAAATATGGGCCTCCTGCTGGATGACCTTGGTACTGCAGCAGAACTTCCGGTTTTTGTATCTTTTGTCCTGAACATGTTATGGTCTTGATTTTTGGGTGACAGATAGATTGTCCTGCCAGGAATAATTGGTGTGGGTTTGGTCCCCCTAGCAGCTTGTTCTGAAACTGCAAGGGACTTTCGGGGGAAAATCTTTAAAAGCCAATAGGTCCAGACAGGAACAATGTATTTTCATCATTTTTGGTAGGTAGGTAGCTGAGAGAGATGTACATAACTTAATGCAAATTATGCAAATGAGGACTTTATTTGCATAATAAATGAGGAAATTCTCTAATTACAGTGTTTTACATTGTAGTACTTCAATACATGTAATGTATGTAATCTTTGGCAGATGGAACATCAACAGATACCAATAATGCAAATTATGACCTCATTTGCATAATTAATGCGAAAATTCAATGGGTAAATGATGGGAATTTCCTACTTGGTGTAAATTGTAAATTCATCAAAAGTTAACATCACGATACATTAATTATGTTAATGTGGAGGTCATTTGCATAATTAAAGAGGAAATTTACATTTACACGTCAAGCCCATATTTCATGGAGGTATGTGATCTCAGATCTCTTGTTTAGCTGTGGCATCAGGGCGGCTGAAAGGTCGCAACAGTGTAGCAGCCCGTGTTGCTGATTGATGAGTTGTTGCTCATACTGAAGTCAGTTGTTGTTACAAGTGTCCGGTGAACAATTTGCCTGAGTGCTACCCTGGATAGTTTATGCGTGCTCCCATGGTAGATAGGGAGCGGAACTAAACTAACCAGGCTAGTTATACGTTAATCGAGCTTTGATATATCTACATGTATATATATAGAATGACAAAGCAATGTACCAGTTGCTTCCCATCTACTAGAAATTCATATCGCACTGGGCATCTCTTCAAACATTTTTCAATACTAAATAGCAAAGTTCTTGTTCAAGAAAAGCAGACGGCCTTTTGCCATCTTCATCGGGGCAATTATGACTGTCACAGGTTCACTGTGCACCGACGCTAGATACTAGGCGTAATACTGGTTCCCTGTGCACTAAGAGTTTTCAGTATTTCAAGTTTCTTTCTTTCCCTGATGTTTTTGGCGCCATCCCAAAGTCCCTGTGTGGACTGGTTTGACCCTCTGTCGGCCTTGACGGAGTCAAACAAGCTGTTTGTCTTTAATGGAACCGTGAGGCATTGTGGGCAGAATCACGGCTGCTTTTCTGGAGCCCCCTAGCAGGTACCTTTCAAACTGCAGTCATTTCTTTATGTATATTATCCATGGATTATCCGGGCGTCTGAAGAGGTAGCCAGCCATGCCAAGTCCTTGTGAGCTGGTTTAATCGCTACATGGCTTGTGCCAGGTGTCAGTGTGATTCAATTCTCAATAGCCAATCAGCAAGAAGAACCACGCACTACCTGCAATGTGGCCAATCAGGACATCCATATAGAAAAGCTGCATGCCTATCGGCTCTTGCTCCCTGTACCAAATAGGGTCACACGCCAATAACAACAAAGGTGACAATCCGTACTGAGTGTATCTATACAAGTTTTATACAAGTTTACAAAAAGTCACAGATAAGAAAAGTTGGAAAAGAATCTAAACTTAATTAGACATTATAGTAAGGAAGGTCACTATGGTATGTTAATCAGTATTCTGCATGCCAGTGTTAGTACAGCTTTTAAACATATCTTAATGCCAACTCAGGCGCACTATGTTAAACTACTACATTCTTTCAATGTTGGAAGTTCGTAGATGTTTATATATATACAATCGTTCTGCGAATCTGTTGGGCTCCATGGCCTTGACATTGAAGTTGGCCCTCTTACTGACACAACATACGGTATGCGTCTAACTTGTCATGGCATAACGTCAGTGCTTGGCTATTTTTTGGCGACGCCTTAGGGGCGGAGGCGTTTTAAGCATGGCCATTCCCGCTGATGGGGTTGCCGAAGCCGACATAGCTGACTCTCTGGCTCGGCGGTGTGAAGTTGTCGTCATACGTGAAGGCTAACAGCGCCTCCTGGAAAAAACGATGACGTGATAAGTGCAGGCGATCTTGGGACGCGTTTCTTGGGACGTCTCGGGTATTGCATTAAATAATGTCTCTTTCCGTACAAGAACGTTTAGATTTTTTTGTGTGTGATGCTCTGGATGTCAAAGATACAGAAAAGTTCATTGAAAAATAATCCTTCAGAAAGCACAATAGATATCTACATTTACATGTATGTTGATTCGCGATAAACATAAACATGACAGTACTACCTTGTCGTATCTCACTCCTTCCTGGTCCAGGCGATCCATGAGGCGTATCCCGTGTTCTCGGATTGTTCTCGCGAGAAGTGGGTACTCGTGTACTCTCGTGATGTACGCCTTCACCTCATCTCGAGTGTACAAGTTTGTCTGTGTCGGTCGGGAAGAATACATTTCTAAATTTCAACTAAGTGTACGAAGTGAAGAATTACATACAACTGACACAAAATTCAGGTCACATTACTTTTTTGTTATGAGGGTGACTCCTACGAAATCAACTTTGTAAGAAATAGGCGATAATGGGGCATATAACTAGGGAAAAACCTGTCAAGCAAGATGAACATTTGTTTGTTAGTTTTTAGTTACTTACGTGGTTATTAAGTGCAGCAATCTGGTCATCCCTGCCTCGGAAAGCCTTTGGCAGCGGCAGGCAGATTTCATACGGTAAACTGCAGCTCCCTTCTTCAGCGGAACCCATCAGCACCACGCCTTGGTACTGGAGAAGGAGTGTATTATGGGTAACACGTGAAGAGCATCATGGGTAACACGTGGAGTGCATTATGGGTAACATGTGGAGTGCATTATGGGTATCATGTGGAAGTAATTTTGGTCACTGAGTCAGTGTTATGTATTCATTGGGACTACAAATAGTTTTAGTTAGACCCTACTGCGATGTACAATAAATGTTGTTGAAAACGAGCCACTCTGTAGAGAATAAGGTAGATCACAAGAGATAACACAAGACATGCTCGCCTAACTCACATTGAAGAACAGAGGCGCCGTAAGACTGCCCAGAGGGATTCCTCCAACGTTGTCTCCGGCGAAGTATTTAAGAAGGGGGCGGAAGACCTTCCTTCCCGAGTGATGGACTCCACAGCCAATTTCAAAATGGCACACGCCCTTGTCTAAAAGGATTAACGAGAGAAAAGACGTACCCAAACAAACAATTAGGCTACTAGTACTTGTAATCATATCTTCAAAGTTAATCTTGAAAATGAAATGAGCTTTAGAAATACCGACAGTAGAAATGATGATGAATTTTTAAACTGGGACTTCTATCCTGAAGTCTTTTATGAAGTCTTTACAACTATACTTACAATCTGTTACTGTTATCTCCCAGAAGTCGCCGAAGTCCTTGGTCTTCCTTATCGGCATGCATTCGGTGGTTTTGCACCTGGGCGGCATCGGGACGTAGACGATCTCGGCTTTTCTCGCGGGATCTCGCGGTGCCTCGTCCTTCACGGCGTGTTCTCGCTTATACGCCTTGTTTTTTCCCGGTGTCTGGTCACGATAAAGAGATGGAGACTGGCGCACAGACAGACAGACATAAGCATCCTATTTTTACATTAAGGCCAATCCTTTCTTGCGTTCGTATTAGACAATTCGTTGTAGTGGGTTCTAGGGAAGAACATGTCAAAAACACAGGTACAAAGGCCTTCAACATATATTTAGCTCTGTGTATGATAACAAAACTGAGTACTGTAGTTGACCTACTTCAGTTTCATCCTCCATGATGATGAGTTCGTTGTAGCCCTCTTTTCCGGCCCCATCCGAATCGTACATCAGAATACTGAAGACCTCTTTCTGAAGAGAAACGAGTGTTTGAATAATTGCACGTCCACCGCTTCTATCTAATAATATTCAAGTAAATGAGCAAAAAAAAATATATATATCGCATTCTTAGGATAACAATAATGGAGGCATAACGATTGCAAGGCGGATAAATGGTGGAAATTTTTTCATTTTGAAAGATGTTATGTAAGACAGCACAAATAGTAAGTACTGGCATGTGGAAATTTGAATAATTTCGCACCAGCGAAGCATGTACCCTAACGGTCCGCATGTCGTGTAGCAGGTGTCGGAACTGTGTGTACACATCCATCGCTCTGTCCGTGGTCACCGCGCCGGGGAAAGGCTGGAAGAACCCCGGCTCCTCCCAGAGACTCGTAATCACAACCTGCAACAAGAATCCGGAGATCTCATACCTCCAGGAAATGCTTAGATCTCCTTTTACAATCCCTTCTTTGTCATGCCAGTGAAACAGCACCAGCTCTATACATGTACGTAAAGAAGGTCATGTAATGAAAAACACCTGTGATCTGCAAGATCTCCAGAAGCCTTAGAGGATCATCGGAATAATCAAATGCGCTTCTGTTACATGAAGATTACAGAAATATTTCGTACCTCAGTGTCCAGCGCCCATGGCACGTCCAGATGGTGCTTGTGTGGGACCGGCAGACATGTGGTGATCGTCCACGCACATTCCTCCAGCTTCCCTGCCGTCATGTTCACCTAGCGGGAGGAGGGGGGGGGGATACAAACTCAGTCACGTTTGGGGACTGCATTCATCTTGCCACAGCGCCATCTAGCGGTGAAAAGTAGCTGCAGTCTTTATTGCCTTGATCACAGTAGCATAAGGACTACCGAAACGCGTAGCCATTTTATTCTTGGTCGTGGTACAAAAACTCAAACTCTGGAGTCTGGACACACGAACATATTAAAAAGGATAGAAATGAACTGACCGTTATGGCCAGAGGCATGACCAAGTCCATAGCTGCGCCTGCGCTGTTCTTCCCGTTGATGTAAGACAAGAGGCGGTTTAAGGACGAATCACGTGCCGACTCCAGGTCACATGACTTCTGTTCCACACACGCCCACTTATCTGGAAGCAACATGACGTCAGTTCAAATTTGATTTCTTTTGTATCAACTACGTATCGGTCTGTCGTTGTGTGACCATCATTAAGATATTTTACGTACAAACACTGTAGATTTTAAGATACGAGATACATACTGTTGCCAGCACTCGTCATCTTCCTGAAGTTCTCGTATTTCTTCAAAGTCTTGAACGATGCACATTCTCTCTTGAGGCATCTGTCTCCAATATCTGGTAGTGTGTATTTCTTGTCACTGAAACAGAAATTCCTTTTCATCTTTACAATGCCATATTAAGTTTCGTATCATGAGCTGCCATAAAAATGAAGTTCAATGCTTTCCGCCATATTGGTGTCCATTTAGGCTCCATTAAAATGGAGGTGTGTGTGTGTGTGTGTGTGTGTGTGTGTGTGTGTGTGTGTGTGTGTGTGTGTGTGTGTGTGTGTGTGTGTGTGTGTGTGTGTGTGTGTGTGTGTGTGTGTGTGTATGTGTATGTGTGTGTCTGTGTTTCCGCATGGCCATTAGGTCAGGTTGTAATGGATATGGTTGGGTTCAGTCTGTCCCAGCGGGGGGAAAGTCATTAATCACATCTGATAGCGCCCTCTGTTATCACAGGTGTTTTTCGTTACATGACCTCCTTGACAACTGACAACAGGTGTTGTTTCTCTTGCATGATAGAGAAAGACTGACGTACCTGACAGGCAAATCGAAGACAAAGTCTGGCGAACGCTCCTGGGGCTTCTTGCAATCTACTGCGTCAAAAAGGATCTGTAACACAGCGAGATATGAAATAGATAAGAGTTTTGGATGAATGACAAAACTTACAAGTCTTCATCATCATCGCCAGTCTTATATGTTGACGATGCTGGTCACCACTGCTTTCCATTGTCTTCTGTCCTGCGCTTGTGTTCATGCTCCTTTCCATGTGAAACATGTACACATCTCTAGATCTTCCAAGTCTCTCATAACGTTTCCCTTGGGGCATTTGTACAAGTCTTTACTAGCTATAGAATTTTTCTTTAATGCTTTGTTTTACATAAGCAATTAAGCAAAGTTATTGATCTTTTGCTATACAATCGTTTGAAAGCTGTAAATTACCAATTAGAACTTTAAAACCCATTCAGAGTTGACTGAAAGTGATTACTAGTATCTAGTACGCTTCCGTCGTTAACGTCCGTGGCTTTAGCTTGACTTACTTCGTTATGCCGATCGAACAGCCGTGATTGGCTGTCGTACTCCGCCACCGTCACCCTGTCCCTCACGCGGCACAGCCCGTTGTCATGGAGCTGGTTGCTAAGGTAACGGGCCTGGTCCATGATGACGTCAGGACTGACGTAACCGGTGAAACATCTGACGTACGTGTCCAGGTAGTCAAAGCGCTTCAACAAGAGGGCTCGTTTCTAAACACGGCAATAATGTTTACTTAAATTGGCATAAAAGTTTCTTTTTTAGTAAACTTTTGACAAGTCTATGAGAAAACATGTTTTTAATCCACCATAACTTATCTCATGTACGATGGCCAATAAGTCAACAATATAAGATTCGGTATCAAGGAGCCATTTTGAAGGAAAATGTGGATTCAGTATTACAATGTTCTAATATTCTGCAAAAGTGCAAAGTTCATGATCTCCAAGCAGATCCTACGGTGAAAAAGCATTATGCAATCGGCCAAAGAGTGTCTATATTAGCCTTCGTTGACTAAAGGTCACTCCTTGGCCGATTGGACACTGCCTCGCCATCGTAGCATCTGCTTGAAGATTACCAGGTTGAGTTCGCTGACGTCTGCTACAGGGTAGTAGAAGAGGAAGAACTTGTCGCATCCCTCGTGACCCTTCCTGTACCGCTGGGTGATGAACGTGGCCTTGCGCGGTAACATGTCTGCGGAGAACCTGGACAGCTCGTCTGGGACAAAAAGTCGTGTTTGAATTATTCTGGACAGTGAACAAACTAGGCCTGTTACAGGCAAGTGTCAGGTAGGCTATACTCAAAGTCTAAAAAAATCTTTCCTTCTGCAATAAAGCCAACTTCCTCACTACAGCAAGTTAAAGAAACCGGAATGTGTCACTGGAGAAATTCAAAGGCAAACATTTCAGCTGACGTTGGTTTTTGATACGTTGTAAACTAGGAATTACTAGCTAACACGGTATGCGGTTCTATATGAGTAGTCGCCATCTTGGATCTATGCCTCCACCAATATGGCGGCGGTAGCTATTTATACCCGCAAGTTGTGACGTCACTTACAAATACCCAATAGTAGAGTCCAATGCTTGACCAATGGCAGAACACCTCATACCTGTTTTATTCATGTGCCGTTTGATTGGTTCTGTTCCCAGCGGCTCCACGTAGTCGTAATGACACGTGGCCGGCATGTGACCTATCAGGTGCAGGTTCCCATAACTCCGCGTCTCGAACCCAGCTTTGTGAGTCTCCAGCACCTTGTACTTCGGGCAACTTTTTGCTGAGGAGACAAAAAAAGGAGGACAAATAACAATCAGTTTATTTGTCAGATCGTAGGACGTCTTTCACCTTATACCTGTATCTACACCCCTCCCCTCTTCTTGTCTGTGAGAAACGTTCCGTTTAAGTACGAGAAAACGTCTTAGAACTTCCGCAAGGAACTTCCTTGCAATCAGCCAAAATTGACTGTGATTATCCAAAGAAGAAGTCTACACGTACATGTACAAAACTTGTCCCCACACTGCGACTTCCACATCCAGTGGACCGACTCCTGAAGAGGAGGTCCCCATTTCTTCAGTAGGTCGTTTCCGGCCCCCCTCAGGCATGACGGGACGTTCAGGAAGCTGAACTCTCTCCCGTAGACGAACTGGCGGTAGTTCTGGGTCCGCTCGTTGGTGGCGAACACCCAGATCTCGTTATACCTCCTGCCCCGTCTGCTTGATGAGGAGGTTCTGAAGATACCGTGAATAATTTCATAAGGTTGGTGAGAATTTGAATAACAAAGTTCTTTATCCACAACCACTTGATTGACAAGACGTTTCGATGACCGCCTGTCATCTTAATCAGGGCAATTATGACTCGTTTTGTGTCACGATTACTTAACGTTTGGGACCACATTGTTAGTAGTGACACTTGTAGTTTCAGTGCACAGTGAACCAACCACTTTAGTCCTGATGAAGAAGTCAGACGGTCATCGAAATGTTGGCTCTTTAAACAAGTGGTTACGGTTATGAATAAAGAACTTTGCTATTCGGTTCTAAATGTTGTATGGCTACGTCATGACAATGATGATTAAAATATTTATAGCAAATTAAACACATGATAAACATTAAATGATGATGAAGATAATGATGATGAAGATAACGATAATGAAGGCCACGATGATAATGATGATAATGAATACGGTACTGATGATGAAAATAAGAGGTACTGAAAGGCGTACCTACGTTTCTGTGCCCTGTATGAGTCGCACTCGTGGGCATCTCCGTACAGCAGACAGTGTCTCCAGTTCCGCGGTTTGGGTGTTTTGTACGCGTCCAGACTGGAAAACACGGTGTTAATGTATTTATCAATTGGAGGTCGCTACAGAGTACAATGGTATCACAGGTACACAACTATCTCTTTGCGATATTTTGACAGTGAATTCTTATAAGAAATGTGTTATTGGGACCTGTCTACGGGTGCATTTTAGTTTTAAGAGCAGTCTTATGGCGAGGTCACAATTTCCAACATGGGGCCCAGTTGGTGGAAACGAAAAGTATGATATAAAAGACAACATAACACAACAACATTGATAAACAAACTAGTCATAAGCATTATTTGTGCAGATTCTTGATATGAATTGTTTATTTTTCGTTTACTAGTACGCCAACAGCCCGGCCGGGCCCCGGTTTTGAAATGTGACGTTAAACATTACCTGGGATAGCGGGCCACGTAGAAGTAGTCCTGCTCGCCGTAAAATGGTTCGGCGTTCCTCTGGAGCGACTTGAAGAGTTTCTGTGCCTGTGCCTTCACCAGACTCCGGGTGGTGTACCCTGAGAACGGGCGGACGTACAGGACAGTCTCCGGCAGAACGTCAAGTACTACCTGTAGGGTAACAACAGGGAGTGTCGACGAAAGTTGCTTTTTCATAGGTTACTTATTCTTTATTTCAGGTATGAAAAAAAACAAACATATAACATCACACATTAAAGGAATGCAAGCTTAATATATATACAAAAGGACATGCAAACAACCATAGACATAAACTATCTGCACAGTTTCTGTAGAGGGTTTGATTTTCAAAACCCCGTTTTTTTCATGGTTTTCGTTAGATGTTTGGTCAATGTTGCATCAGAATTTTGCCCGATGCAGACGATGTCTTATCAGAGTCTATCAGACACAACATTTTAATGCTATAGAGGGGTTGTCATCCACAATAAATTACTTTGTTCGTTTAAACGTGCTAAAAAGAGTGTACCTTTGGATGCCGAGGGGTTGGAGGGTCTGCATGGAGTTTTCTGGACACCAGGGTCGACACGGTAACCGCGTCTCCCGACATGCTCAGCTGCGTCACGAGAGGTACCGTCAGAGGCAACTTTACACCTGTCAACATGGACACGGTTTAAGGTTATCAACATACTTCAACGGATATACAGGGTACATTTCGATCAATCAATCATTCATTCATTCATTCATTCATTCATTCATTCAATCAATCAACTGCAAGCATCAGGGAAGATGCATTTTGATCACACACTGCAAAATAAAACATACGACTGTACACACATACAAACACATACTCATACACAAATACGCACACACACACACACACACACACACACACACACACACACACACACACACACACACACAAACACACGCACGCACGCACAGACAGATGTGCATATACTACGGCATGCACACACCCACGCAGCCACACCCACACCCCAGGTGTCACACCTTTGCTATTGTCCCCCTGTATGTACATGACGAGTCTCTCTGCTGCCCGGAGCTGCCCCATAGAGAACCCTGAGTCGCCGTACTCGGTAGTGGAGACCCACATGGCGCTGGCGTAGCGCCGAACCTCGTAGTCTGTCGTGGAGCACAGGCTTTCAAACGGCGGGCATTCCTTGTCGCAGAAACTCGGCAGATTCAGTTGGCTGTGTGAAGAAAAAAATTCATTCATTCATTCACAGAATTTTGCATCCATGTGACTATATATATGGCACAATCAAGCACCCAGCAAGTTGGAAGACGTCAGCAGAATGTACTGCGTCTGCCAAATTTTTTTTACCGTTTTCGTTGAATGTTTGGTGGACGTTACATCAGAATTTTGTCCGTTGCAGACGATATCTTTTCCGATATAACATTTGAAAACTATAGACGGCCGGATGTCATCCGTAAAGATGCAAATGCGACATTAAATGAGACGTTATGCCGAAATTCTTTGCACGATATATTACGGATTTCGCATAGGCGTAGTACGTTCTGCCGACCTGCTGCGTCCGCCATCTTGGTGGGTTAAATCAGTTTGTTTCCCTTTTGCTAAACACGTACGCCATCTTGCGTCTATCGCATCCACCAACATGGCGGCTGTAGCTATGTAAATTCACAAGTTATCGACAAAAACACGACAGATCTACAGATATTAATGAAGCGAGTACTGTTAACATTATCTTATCCAACTCAAACAAATTGCAAACCTTCACTTACAACTTCACATGTAGCTGTTTTCATTAATACGATATATTTCAAGGTTTTGTAAGATAAATACATATAAGAAAGAGTGCGCGGTTTCGAATGTTTGTAAAAAGAGTGAAAATGCGTGGCAGGAAATGATAATATATTTCAACAGCTTACACTGCAAACATGTAGGATGTCTGTCCACACCATGCAAATGGCGCGTGTTCTGGCCCGTCTCACCGGCACGCACACTTGTTTATACTTACTTCTTTTAGCTCTTAGATGGACAATTTCAAGGGACAGATGTGCTCTTTTTGCACCCATGAATTTGTTTTCAACAATGAAAGTTTGTTTTGCAGTAGTCATTCTATTTTGAGGCCACGATGAAACAATTCTATATCTGTAAATACAGTTTGAATGTTATCTTAACGTACAATTGTACATTTGTACGATATTTATAACGTTAGGAAAGAGATTGATAAAAGAAAATGTAGCCAAGCATCACTATCGCACGTCTACAGTTTATAACTATTATAATAATGACATCTTTAGTCCACAAGGTAAACTTACAAATACATGTATCTGCATAATTTCACTTATCAAAAACTAAAACACTTTCGCTATGGAAGCAGCTATTTTAATGGTGACTGCTACTCTTGCCACTGTCACAGCAAACGTGCACAAATTGTGAAAATTTCGAAAAAAACATCAAGGGCCGTTTCAAGCGCCTAAATCGTTTTGGACTACGCCAGCATCTGTCAAGATACAAGGCATTTATCGCATATGTAAGGTAATGAACGTCATTGTCTTTTTTTCTAGAATAAAATAATTGAAAATGAATATGCTCTAACTGGCCGCATATTTCCAAGTACACTATCGAACACGACATCCGGTATCACTAAATATACCTGTCCCTATTCATGTACTAGTCCCAGCCTCATGTTTTCTAAATGTACAACGTACGTAACTGTACAAAATATGCTGTAAATGACAACGTACCTTTCAGACGGTGCTGAATCCAAGGAGTTGACAAGGAGACAGAGAATTTCCAGACAGATCACGATAAATGTAGAAAACGCCATCCTTTAACACGAATCCCTATAGAAGAGAGGGTATATCACACACAGTGCTTAAAACACGCTGCCCACCACAGCTTTCGTCAAGCTAAAGACCTGGCTTCTCGGACTGTTCTCCCCCGACTGTGACCACAAGAGTGAGTGATGTGTGGGTGATGAAAAAAGCCTTTTTGGTTCTCTGTGTTATAACCAAACCACGATTTCCTGTTTATCATCACTTGGCGATTTACACATCGTGACAGGTGTGGTCTGACCCTTGGTCCGAGGCTCTGTGGAGTGAGACCAGGTCTTCAGCCCTGAGTGTTACCGCTCATTTAATCAAAACAAAGGCGGAGACCCTACATGTAAGCGGTCCCCTTCTGTTAACAAACACGTATTACCAAGAGACATGGCCCGTTCAGAGGACTAAACCGCTACTCTAAAACACGTACACAACATGAAAGTTTATCAAAAGCTTGAAGTGAAAATACAAACGAATTTCGACATCTTTACCTCAAGCTCCTGTCACGCATTCAAAACCCTCACCCGAACACCAGCCCACCTAGGTTGACCGAAGTTCGGGAGCAGTCAGTCCAGATTTAGGCCACGGCTACCTTTCTATACAAACCACGTCAGATTTGAGTTAAATCTGAGTCCAATTTGACTGACAACCACGCTCCAGGGGTTCGTTGGAGGTGAATCTAGTGTTTTTGGTAGAAGAATTGAATTGTACTTACTGAGAAGTCAGACAACGTCTCGTCACTAATATTTGAGTATAAAAACAGACCCGATATTTATATATATCAGGATATAGTTATCGGACCATACACGGGGTTAGGCAAGGTGGACGGAATACTAGAATTCTAAGTACACTACGTTTGTCCGACAGTCTCTGACGCAATCGTCTAAACATACAGTGTACACGCAGCGCCCGCCCACTCAAAGGCTATAAATTACAAAAGTCATTGCTTGGTATGTGTGGTTTGAAATGCTGACACTATAGAAAAACACGTTCAAGGCCTCTGGAGATATTTTAAAGGGATTCATGACTTTTGCGCCAGTAAATGTCGTTTGGTATTAAGATTTTTGGAGTGGGAATATTTTTTTCACCCACGTCGTAAAGTTTTTACCCCACGAATGCAAGATAGACTGTGGCGTGCAATCATTCGTCTTCCACTGCCTCAAAAGAAGAAGTCAAACCCTGTAAAACTAGTACCGCGTATGTTGTAGAATGTTGTATAACGTTAGACTATATATATCACATAACATTATATCATTGTCTTTTCTTTTTCATACATGTTGTTTGTACCTGCAATTAGTCATTTGGGTATGTACTAGTATTTAAAATAAACCTCCTATTATTCCAATAAATTCATGGCTACCACAAGCAAACTTCTGGACGGTTCTAACAGTAATCTTTGTACTAAACCTTCAGCTTCTGTGGCTGACCTTGAACAATGGCGGCGTTCTTTTAATAGAGTACTGTGTGCACGTAGCCATGTATACGCCGATCAAAGTACTGGAGACTACGACATCACAAGTCTGATCAAGTCAACAGCACCCTGGTAACAAGATATCGATAGACTATTCTCAATATGTGCAAATGTTTGATTTAAACCGCTGGCGCCATAAATGGTTGATAAGGGGCACATTTATAAGCGGAGGCGGATAAGATAGGAGGGTTTATCGATGGTGCGATTTGCCGACATATCTTCCACCCGTGTGTACATGGCAAATATCAGCAGAATGTCACGCGTTGTTGTTGGTGCTTTATGACTTTGTTTTCGACAGTCTCCGTCGCGACAACACAAAGAAAACAAGACTTGGTAGACCTTTTGCCCATATTGCTCTGTGACCCTCCCAGTCCAAAAATAGCATGTACGGCAATGATGAATTGTTTATATATCATGACTCATAGAAACAAACACGCAAATTAACAAGCAGAGAGACCTCCCCATCCCAAAAAATACTTTACTCTGGTAGGTAAAGTAAGAATGTGCACATAGATGTTAGCACAGAAAAATAGAAACAGCGAAAAAAACTGGTAAATTAAGACAAGGGCACCTAAGTTCTCCCCATCCAAGAATGCACAGTCAGCTATTTATCAACGTTGACAGTTTAAAGTACCAGACCCAAGCAATCACTGCCCGTCGCCCAGACTACACATGACGTCCGAGCATGTGTCATGGTCTGTACGGTTGTTGTACCCGACATAGCACTGTGTTGTGTGTGGTTAACAAAGGCAGACCACTGGTACATATATTAAGTCTTAAAAAACTAGGAGCTCTATAAGTTTAGGAGTTAACACCTTCGTCCGCGCTTGTGAATATGTTTGTTATAACTGTGTGTATTTTGTTTTGTTTGTTTGTTCGACCAAATCTGTAATTTGATGAAAGTAAGTTAGACAATTCCATAGACCGTTGACGTTGGCGTTAAGCTTTGAACCTTCAGTGCATCCCTGTGTGTGTTCGTGTGTGCGTGTGAGGACTACATATATACTTGATATAACAATGAAACACGACCAACTCATTCACAACTATTGCCACATTTGTTTGTGTGATGATTATTTCTCGCCCTAAAACTATCGACAGCAACTACTAATTTCGACTGATTTAAAAACACACAAAACATGCATTAATAGCATAAGGAACTCTATAACAGTATATTTACAAGGCTGGGTGGATTTTTGCTGAACTATGTGCATCTACATGGCCGTATACGTACTTTTTGGAAACAGTTATCTATTCTACAATATATCAAAACTACAGCAATACCAAGTACAGTGTTTTACAACAATTGTCAGGACTGGTGAAACACTACAACACTAATTTCTGTTCAACACGTATTTCTACTTCCCAAGGACCCGTGGGTCGGCAGTATCCAGGACCTGTCTCCATGCTGTGTTCATCTGACTTCCATTTCTCGGTACGGACCCTCGTCTTCTAGAAGTGCGCCGTTAGTGTACCCATGAACCTCTGCGGTGGACTCGTCGATTTGCCGTGACGGGGGTACCATCAGCTGTCAATAAAAAAGTAAAAACGTCATTGACTTTCAATTACCCTGTCAGGGATAATGTTAACTTATTATTATTATTTTATTATTGAGTTCAGCGTCAATGGTATGTATTCTGTAAAGAAATGAATTTACGATTAATGGTGTCAGTTACTTTCTTTTACAGAAGGAAAATACTTTCTCTTCTCCGTTAGAAACAGCTCATAATACATTACAATTGTGCATCTAAGTCCAGTCTCAATTCGTCACCAAGGTGACCAATTATTTGAGTCCCACATCGTCATCACACTGACGCCACCCAACCAGCTATTCCCGTCGTGGTTCCCGGTCGTTTTTTATATTTCACTCCATACCATGATATGGATGAAATATATTGTTTTTTAGAATAATATATTGTTTCCTTACTCACCCGTGCATACTCGTTAATGACGTCCTGGTACGGATGATCCTCTGGAGGTGTGGTCTCATCGAGAAGGGTTTCTGAATACGACGGAAGGGTCTGGACAGGGAGAGACTGGAAAGTCAGATCAACTTGGCAACTGTCGGTACAAAATTCTGAATAAAGTATCTACATGCTGATTTGTTATATATTCTTTCAAAAATCTAGCTGAAAAAATAACAGTTGAAATCTTGCAATTTCAATCGATTCAATCAAATACGCTTGGCTTGTCGTGAAGGTATTCTTATTTTTCTTCTGTCTTTATAATTATTTCAAGAATCCGTTAAAATTGTCCCAAAGTGCTTACCTCATTTTCCAATGTCAGTTCGTACATGTCTCTTCGTTGTGAGTTCTTTTTCTGAAAAAAAAAACAGGAGGTAGACATTAACACAATCGAAAGGGATTCAATTCCAAAGCACCTCATTCAAAGCGCCAAACTTCTTCACGTCCACTTACGCTTACATCTGCTCTGCCGAATGGACGGTGTTCAGCACCAAGGACAGTGCCGTTTCAATATATGTGGAAGACGTTCAACACAGTTTTTCCTGTACATCGTTTCCTTGTATAATAATGGTGGATGGAGTTCAGTACCAAGGACGGGTCTTTGTAATATATATGATGGGTGGTGTTAACTCTGTATCCAGCACAAGGGATATGGCTGTAAAATTAGACGCGGATTGCGTTCAGCACTATAAACAAGATTTTTGTACGTGCACCGTTCCCTAGTGTGCTTTTAGTGGTCAGTACTTTGAACTTTATTTGATAAAAACATCATGGCAGGAGAAACTCCTGAATTTTGTTGTGATTTTACAACAGTCTAAAATTCAACATACAACAGTTTAAAATTCAACGACAAAATGCACTGTGTACCAGGGCCAGAATACTGTAGCGTGAACTGGGAAATCGTATTGGACATGTACACCGATACGCACCTCCAGAACTCTCTTCAAAGCTTCGCGGTAGGACTGCATGGTCTTGTTAGCTTCCGAATCGTAGTGTTGCTTCAGTGACTGGAACTTGTGAACTTTTAGTTCGCTGACCTGGTAAAACACAAAAGACGTAGGATATGATAACAACGTCGTAAGTACTACATTTAAAGCGATTTGAGCATAGTACAAGGGCACCCTGACATTCTGCAAATTGGGAATAGATTACGGGAAAAATTACTCAGCAGATAGAAAGAAAAAATGGTAAATGTAACCTTAAAAACATGGATAATACGAAAAGGAACATGCATATACAGTTTACATTTGCTGGACAGATAAGAACATTTCTAGCAACATGTCACGAAACAGCCTCCGTGCCTGTTTTAGTTAAAGTCGTCACCAACCCAACCTTGTGAAATAAATAACTTCTTGGTAACCATACAACCACGGGCACTACTGGGCTCTATATTATGAAATAAATCCGAACTTACAGGAGAGAAAGTGTTGAGTCCGAACCAGCGGACCCAGAGAGAGTTCCCGTTCCTGCCCTGTACCACCTCTCCCGGCCACCAGAACGACCGCACGCCCTGTTTACCCCATACAAGGTCACCTACTCCAACAGGCTGGACAGTGAACAACAAAAAACACAGGTATCTGTGAAATGTAGTAATTGTATACACGTGATCATCAACAAATGCTGGCTATTTTAAAACACATTGATTTTTAACTTCCGGGGAAGGAGATATCCTTCCGCAGAAGGGTTCTGTTTTCGGTAATGTTTGTGTGTTCGCAACTGTAGCTCACGGAAGGTTTGACGGATTCCTCAGATTTTTTGGTATATGACTAGTTATTGGAGTCCAGATTATGCGGATTGTTTTTGTGTCATTGTATTTGGTATTTTCAGGTGTTGGAATAAAATTTTTGGACACCCCCGTGCAAAGATTGTGACGTTAGTTACCTCTGTTCTCTTCCTTTGTCGACAACAGCAGACCGCCAGGACGATTATAAGAAGCGCTGATGCCACCAGCCCCATAGTTACCCCGGCAACTAGGGTAGAGTCTAGGAAGAAGAGAATTTGAAAAAAAAAACGTAAATAGAGTAAGTTTTATTCGTATTCTTGAAGTGGGGCAGCAAATGTTGAAATGTTACTATTTTACATTAAAAATTCAACCCGGCTTTCCTAATGGGAATATTGAACTCTTCAGTAGTTTTTCACTGTCGCTCATCATACACATTGTTACGATCTTATTTATTATTATTATAAAGAAAATAGTCATTGAAGAAAAATGATGAAGAGGTGTTACTGACTGTAGCATTTCCTTCCCGGCCTGCCTTGCGGTGACCTGTCCTGGTAGCCCGTGCGACACAGACAGGTAAACCCGCCCAGCTGGTTCTCACACACGGCGTGTGGACTGCAGTCATTACTGTCCGGACTGGCGCACTCGTCGTAATCTGTGCAGATACATGTCGAAAAAAAGACGTTATACATGTATTTCCCAAGCATCTAGCAAAGACATACCGTACTTTGTCTCAATCTCTGTTTATACCCGTTTGGGTCCGGTACTCGAAGAGGGTAAAATTGAAATGTTATGGTATTCTTATTTTGTTCACAATACACGATTGATACATTGCACTACAGAGTGGCCTGCTTTGCTAAGTTGTTTTATAGTCACTTGTTTCTCTTAATGTATGATGTATACACTGTATGTTGAAATTAGTCCTCTGGCAAGAATTTGCAAAAACTTCATCATAATTTTCTGATAAAAGTCAATGGTTTTGAATACTGATATGAGGCCGAATGATCTACAATGAAGTTTTTTTTGGTTGGGAATGTCTTGGGTATGATCTCAAAAGCGAATACTATTAAATTTGTCCAGATATTGATGACTTACCTGTAACTTCAACCTTTGCCGACATCTGTAGAGTGGTGCCCCCTGCCGACTGGATAGCGTTTTGCAGGGCCGAACTGACGGTGCTTGCCGTCTCTCCGCTTCCTTCTGCCACATTCACTGCATGGGTGCCGATCACGCTGCCTCTCCGGAACCCAAGCACTTCTACACTTCGGAAGACATTCGCTAGGGGGCTGGCGAGGTACAAGCTTGTCATCTGTGTATGGATAGATGTATAGTTTGCATGACGTTACTTGTAACGTAACGACACAAGAAGGTTACCGTGTATTCTTCTCCAAATTCCTTATATACAAGTACAACACGACAGAAACCTTCTGCCAAGTCAAACTATTTACATGTAGTTGCTACAAAGGATTTACAACTTTAAATTTGCATTTTAAAGGCAAGTGCAGTCCCAGACGAAGCTGTAAGATGTGGTATCTTCAGATTTTCTTCTAGGATACACACGAAAAAGTTAGGAGTTTTGTGTAATGTATTACATTACACAAAACAAAAATTTGAAATCTTTCAAGAAATACCTCCGTGGAGTAGATGCCAGCTAACCGCCTATACTCCGCGGAGCTGCTGTTGGAGTAGGCTTCCGTGTAGTTGTAGGCGAAGAACCGCACGTCTGCTTGGAACGCCACTGTAGCCCTGCACGCTCCGTCAGTCCTGACGTACCCCGGGACGCACGCACAATGGTACGACCCGGCCGTGTTCACGCAACTGGAGTTCGGTACATCCGCGCAAGGGGCGCTCCTGCACTCGTCTTCATCTGCGATTTTGGAAGATTGAAAATGTTTGCGTTCTCATGTACTTAAGTATCCATCCGCTCTGGTCATACAAGACCTCATCACTCAGGTCTCTCATAATACCAAACAAGAAGCCATAGGCGACAATTCTCCGTGAAGTATTATATATTGCAACAAAAAGAAGTAGCCATTGGCGACAATTCTCTGTGAAGTGTGATAAATCGAACAAAGAAAAATTGTTTAAACGCGCGTCGGCTCAGTCATCTTAAGACGCAACAACCAATCAGAGATGCGAGATGCCTACACGTGACGCGGGAAGGGCGCGCGATGCCCGAAATATTTTTGCGTCAATATTCAGCGCCGTGATTCAAGAGATTAATACCCGGAAACAATTTTTTCTTGTTTTGAACGCATTAACATGCATTTACGCTAATCTAGTATGATTCAGGGTTACTTTTTTTTAACCTGCCATGGCCAGATTATCTAAAGATGTGTGTATTGTGTGTACAATCTATAGAAAGAGAAATGTACATCAGGTCCGATCATCCGATTTTCACGTTTCGGTTTTTTGGACTCGGTTCATGAACGTATTTTGGTTTGGCTCCTGGAATGTGCGAAAAAATGACTCCCGGGACTGTCTACAGGGAACACTCGCACATTCGCGGTGTATCAGGACAGCGCGACTGGTCGTCATTAGCGCAGTAACAGTTGCATAAACGGACGAAACCATTTCAAAGAAATGGGGATGTTTCGAAAATAAGCATTTACTCCAATATCAAAACAGCTACGGTAAAAATAAAAGGACGTGCATCATCCCGGACATAATGCAACACCACATGCGAAATTACACAGAAATGCGACGTACGGAAGAATGCGTTTTGGCTGCGAACATCTTCCAAAAAACTTGGCATCTCTTAACCATGGGCAAAAACATCTGGAACCACTTATAAAAACCACCCCGTATCTGCATGAACTTTTTTGAACCCACTGCTATTCCAAACAACGCGTTTTTCTGGACCATTCCAATTCGCCTCGTAATTGTAGGGGTGCGTCTGCGATATTACATTGACCGCGAAAGCAGCAACGGCAAAAATACACATTCGTGCATCAACACGGGCATGCCCGCAGACGGCGTATAAAATTGCGTGCCGATTACACAAAGAGAACCCAGTGTTTTGACTGCGAACATGAAAAATCAGCCGATTACAACACTCCGTCCGGAGGTCCTGACCTCCTTCACGGAGTAATAAACTGTTGAAATCGACAAAACTTGACCAAAGTAGGAAAGTTTATACCCTACTTGTTCCTTCTTGTCCAAAAGTCTTCAAACTGGACCAAAATTTCCAAGAAAAAAACGGATTTTCAAAGATATTAACTCCTTCACTGCGCAACGCAATGGAATCTAGCTAGAAAGTTAGACACTCACCCCAGCACACGTGACCATCCCCGGTAAACCCTGCTACGCAGACGCAGCTGGATTTGCCGTTAGCCTGAATGCAGTTCGCATTTGCATCACAGGTGGCGCTGCACTCTCCTATCACTGTGATTGAAAAGAGGGCAACGTTATCTTCAAATCACGTCTGTTTTAACCAAATCAGTTCCTAGTCATTTGCGTAAATAATAATGGAGATAACCTTTACTGTACTTTTATTCCATAACGGGATAAGTACAGGTAAACAGATGAAAGGGTACGTACAAACAGGATTTCTGATTCCAATCTAACAACATTAGCTCCAATAGATGAAGACCCGACATTGGTAAGTAAGTGAGAAAGACCTGTAGTACCTTTGCTACAATCCAGTGCCCCAACTCCGCCTTGTCCTCTACGCAGCGGTTTGCAGACGCCTGCCTTTGTCTGGTTCACGTCCGTTCCGTGTATCTGAAACGCCACACAGAGGTGGGTATAGGAACTGCAGTTAGCCTGGGGAACAGACACCTGTGCGGAAACGTCCAACAGCTCAACGGCCTCGCCCCTCTGTATGCCGTGTCTGATCCGGGCGGTGTGCAGGGGCCTTCCTGTGGCGCCTGCGGGTCTCGACACGACTGTGGCGCCGTCCAACTGTGCACTGTCGGTAAGGTACACCTGTGGGGATATATGGCATACTATGATTTGAAGTGCCAGAACACTATACTTGTATATCAAATTTTGGCTGGATGTACAGTTAAGTTTGACATTTTTGGCAACGCCTCAGGAGTGGGACTCACATGGGGCGCGGTTTACCCGTTGTGCCATTCAAAACAAACAAAATATACTATATTGACTACCTTTATTTGTAGGTTTCTGCCGCTGTTGGGAGGGAGATCGGTGGGACCGGTGTTCCGTATGACGTAGTTGAAAACGATTGTAGCGCCCTCTACCGGACTAAACACGTCACTGCTCCGAGAAATGACGTCAAACGACTGTGCCTGGAGAACTGCAGGAAGACGGACGAACAAAGAAAAACATCCTTCAGACAAAATTGACAGCGTTTGCGACTGTAAACTGTGTCATTTTAGATACACAAATTCGTGGTAAAGACAGAAATTGAAGTGACAAAAATAAATCAACACCTGCATGGGAGGCCATAAAGTTGTGACGACGAATTTTCGAAAATATTATTTGAAAACATATAAGAGTCTCACCTGGTATCTGAAGAGTGTGTGGTGTTGCCGTTGCTGTTACGTTAGGGATGACGGTTGCTGTCACTGGTGACATGGATCGCACCACCGAAGGAGTTATGAGCAGCGTCATTGTCTGCATTGCCGCTGTAAACCGGGAGGTGGCGAGTCGCACAGTGTTCAGTTGCGGTGCACCGGCTGTAGTTGATTCACGCAGGGATAACGAAACGACTGACCGAGGTTTCAAAGATGACGTGACGGAAGGCGCCTGTGTTAGAGTGCCATATGATGGTCTGACAAATGATGCTGGTGTCCCCAGTGAAGATGTGCCGGTTGGAGTTGGTGTGCCCAGATTACTTTTGATGGTACCTAGGGACGGAGTCGAAGTGCCGAGGGACGGTGTCACAACTGGAGCTGATGTACCGAGGGTCGGTGTCACAACTGGAGCCGAAGTGCCGAGGGGCGGAGCCACAAGTGGAGCCGATGTTATGGCGAAAGGCGTCACAACTGGAGCTGAAGTGCCGAGGGACGGGCTTACTGTACGCGTGCTAAGATGTGGCGTGGCGAAGGCAGATCTGAAAGTAGAAGTTATCACTGACTGACCAATCCCGACTTTTGGCGGTGCAGTGGATAGTACCGACGCGCCTACCGACTGGAACGTGACAAGAATTGAAGTTCTAAAGGGTAGTACGCTGGGGGATGGTCCGAGGTAGTTCGCCACTGATGAGAGTACATGCGACTTAACCGTTGAAGTCATTGCAATCGTTGTCGCTTCGTTCGAGGCGATAGCACTCTTCGGAAGGGACTGGAGTTGGGCTGATGAAAATGAGACGGGGTGAGAAGAAGATTGGACCACGTGTCTTGTAGAAGCTTGGTTCCTTGCATCACGTGTAAAGGAAGACAGTGTCGGGTGTGCCGTAGTTCTTGAACTTGCGGCAGTGCTGTCAAAGTTGGTGAGGTGGGTGGTGAGACCCGCCGATGTTTGGGACGGACTCGGCTGAAGAGTTGGCATTGCTGAAGTAGTCTGAACTGCGGATACCGGTTGTAGAGTCTCAGTTGCTACATGAAAAAAATACAGGCATTTTCAATTTAACAATATTTCATCATCGGTTACGCGGTGTGTGTGTGTAGAAATTCTGCTGCTTTTTTTTGTCACACAGACACTTGATAAACATTGTATACGTATGTACTATAATTACAGAATGTCTTTCTATGTTTGTTCTAACAGATTTTACAGTTTACTGCAAGCATCAGTTGATGTGTTATCACAAAAAGTAGAGGAATCTAATTAGATCAAATAAACCTTCAGTACAAACAAATACTCCTGACTATATGTAGACACCACAGTAAACATACAAATACCACAGTGACTATACAAACAATTTTGTGACTTTGTGAGTCTTGGTGATAACTAATGTATTAATGCGTTGATTACATGACAACTGCGAGAGAAGGTGGCAGAATACAATAGGCCACTATCATGTAACAACACTTTAATTTGTTTTACTTGTTGCCGCTATTTTAAGCAAGACATTGAAAGAAATCCTGGACACTACAACCCTCTGGCGAAACCTCTGCGTGGATAAATATTTTGTTGGGGGCATCTAATGTTACAGGTGTTCATATGAACAGGCAATCGCCAATACACACTTTTTAGTAAATGTGTTATGTACATACGTAAGTGTACGTGTGAGTTCTACTTCTTATAAGTCATCGACAAGGTTGGCAAGCATTATGACAAACATGCCAGTTTAAATCATGTGAAGTCAAGTTAACCATGTCTAATGTCATAGATTTAGTCCGAATCACGTTAGTCACCATAATTTATACAGTGTGTGTCCCATGGTCACAGACAAATTAGAAAACAGTAAACAACTTCAACCCAAGCCAAGTAGTGTACTCACCGGATACGCTCATATATGCAACCGATGGCTGAACGGCGAAGACAAAAATCAGTGGAACAAGTTGCTGTATCAGCATCTTGGCACCTGTAGCAGAAAACCTGTCACAAAAAATCTCTGCAGGATGTCCCAACGGAGTCAGTGACAGGAGCGTGTGAGGACGCTAACTGTCCGGGAGGAAAGTAAACGGTTGTCTGACTACAACTCCTGGGTCCAAACACTGGTCGGACGGGTTGTGTTTGATTGGGGAGGTATGTGTGTAATTTGCATTTGTTTAAGAAAATAGAAAAAGGGTCGGTATCACCATATACCAGCCAAGCAGAGACGATGTCCCTCATGTCAAAATAGCGTTGAAGATGAATATTATTTTCTAATGACTTGTCCAGCTTATACTGTAGATAGAAGAAAATTATTAGCTAGTGAATATGATCACATGTAAATCAAGTAAATCCTTGCCAAAAAGAAATACTAGTATTAAACACAATCTAATTATGCCATGTCCCAAGTGAAGTGGGCCAAGTGTGTCACATACTAGTATTACTTTCATATTTCTCCCAACTTTCCTACATTTTCTCCTTATGTAGCTTACAAGTCATAAGTTTGTAACGTTTCCAGTTTTAGTTTACTTTACCGTATCGGTGTCTTTGAACGGCTTCGAAGTTCCTTTATTTTTAAGAGCCATTTTTGTTGCACCTAGATCTGGTTTTCAGAAAATAGACACACAAGTGATACTGAGAAGTTACGTCATGACATCTAGAGCGAGACGACGAGATTGTTCCTTAGCACGCTCCTTCACTGGCGACACGTATAAACACCTACACAGGTGCGGTTAACGGTGTACCTCACACAAAGGGAGCGCAAACCTGGCCCTTTCAGGTGCAGTCAACGGTGAAAAGACGCCACGTGAGAGGCCGGCGGACAGAGATATCTTCTGCATTACGCTCCCCTGCTTCGCCATTTTCAAACCTCCTTTCTGTGTTTTCCCAAAACATCCGACCCATGACTAGGAGATATCCTCATGAGTTCTTTTGACTTCAAACCTGCCATGCCGACCTTTGACCTCCTGCTCTCTCAGGTTCAGGCAGCGTGGCGGGGGTTGGGTGGATTGTTTTTCTTTCTGCCAATAGCACGAGCCGTTACATGACCCTACACTTGTATCGCGATACGGGGGAGTCCTTGTTTCTCGTGAGGTGCTTTATGAAAACAAGGCCACTCGAAGGTCAGTCGCATTTTTTGATCGGTGTGTTGGGGACAAAACAGTAGACTAGACGCTCTTCCAAAGTACCGTCTACACTGGCTGATTTTTTCCAGTCTATGGGGACTTTTCATCTAAAGGAACCTTACAGTGGCTTACTTGGAGCAGCGATGCTATAGACGATAGGAAAACCTTCACCCGTCCTACAAGTGATGACCGCTGGGTGATTGGACTATTCTTCAATTATAGCAGAGGAAGATTTTGTGGTAAGGACTATTGTCTGGACGTCTTTTCGGCAATGACGCCTAGGATCGGCAGGAAAGCTTATCCTGATAATTCTCACCTTGAATTCTCACCTTGAAGATCAGCCAGTAGGTACCATCTAGGGTAATGAGGCTGGCCTGGCTTTAAGAATTAATGAGGACTATGTGCATGGAAATACGTACAAGAAAACCGACAGTTTTCTTAGTGACGACATTTAAAGACATGACCTCCATGCTGAAAGAAGGAAAAATTTCAGAAAGTCAAGGTCATGTGAAGATTTCAGTTGAAACATGGCGGAGGCCATAGGCGATGCTAACGCTTCAGAAGTTGACGACGTGGAACAAGAAACGCCAAGAAGAGAAACGGACCAAATCGGGTCAAATACCAACCATGTACGGAAGAAACACGTTAGGATCGTTCTACCAACAGAAGTTGACGACCCTGACCTTAGAAATACAGTGGAACAAGATAAGGACCATGCTGTGGAGAAAGACACTAGCCCACGGAGAAAAGGTAAGAAACACCTCCGACCTTTACAGAACTACCTGCGCTCCAGTCGGGACAGGTGGTTAAAACTTCTGCCTGCGATTCCCGAGATTTCGTCCACAAAGGAACCGCCCGAATCCTACGAGGAAGTGACAAAAGCGATCAAAACAGCTCTACAGAAATGCGACGGTCTCATTATCAGAGTTCCTTACCTAGCTACAGACGTCAGCTATCTACAGACAGTAGAAGAGTCTCTCTTAAGCCTTAAAGATGCGTCGAATGTGGGCATCTTGGCTGATTTCAAGACGCTTCAGAAACTGGTCACAATGAAACGATCTAAACAACAATATGAAAAGGAGGGTGACGTATTGGTAGAGTTTGAAGCGATGTCCAACAGTGCAATGCAGCAGCTAGAGAAAGTTCTAAGAATCCTGAAGGACGAAGTGCTCTTCTTTCTCAGAACGTTTTGTACAGGGGAAAGGGAGCAAGAAAAATGTCAAGAAACCTTAGAAAAGAATGTTGACGGAATCCAAGGTCTTTTGAATAGCAGAATGAGCGAAGTGGATCCGAATGTATTCAGTTATGGTCAGTTGTCTTGTCAGGTAGCGATAGATGTGGTCAACTGGAAAAACTTTCCAGTTTTGCGGGTGATACCTGATATTGTGGACAGGTGCTACGATGCAATAAGACAAGCCAACACGTGGCTAACGCACGACTCGGAGTACGTGTCTAGACTCAACAGGAGAACCGAAGAAAGCCGACGGACCGTGAGTGACATCCGAACCCGGATTATCATAACAAATCTCCAGCGAAACGTGCTAGAGAACTCGTCCAGAAACGTCAACAGAGAGATACGGCAGAGAAGCAGGCGACTGCACCAGGTGCAAAGGGAGGTAAAACAACTCGAAGATGAAAAGGCGAGCAGAGAAACACAATTGGGCGACACGAAACCATCAACAAACTTGACAAAGACGCACAGCGTGACCTCTAACCCTGGGAACGTGACCTCAAAATGGCGGATCGAGGAAGAGCTCAGAAATCTCAACATGGAACTTTCAAAGAGAAAAATCCGTCTCCAGGATGCAGAATTCAGTCTAGAAGAATACTTGGTCAGTCATGGACAAGATCAAGCATACTTACAATCACAGCTTAGGAAAAATGATGAAAAATCTGACGCACTACGCAAGGAATTAGCCGAGGCGTTTGAGAAACTAGCTTCTTGGGAATCTCTATTGCAAGAGAAGACGGGTCGGAGGAAAATCGCTGAAAAATTCTGGGCTGCCACCGACAAAACGTCTGGCCGCGAGAGTTATGAAGGTAGGAATGTTTACATCCATTGCGGTGTATATGATACTGTAATTACACTGTCTGACAGAATGGTAAAGACATGGCATATGTGAGTAAGATTTAAAGATTTAACGTTACAGGCAGATAAATGAATTCAAGAATTACGAATATAGCAGTACTTTTGCTCGTAGCCAAACTATGTATTCTATATAAATGTGGTAGAGACGTAACGTAGAACATTCTTGTGTAAAGATAAAACTTTTTTCCAACACAAGAGATGTTCTAATCTTTCGACCAGTCTTGGTCGACTTTGGTCTTCTTCGATAGACTGACCCAGTGAGACTTGTCACGTGGCTTCTCTAAAGTGTGACGCCAACACTAGGTTGAACAATCTTTTGGGTTGAAGATTGAAAAAGATTCTTGTCTGAATTCCTGTCCAGAGCTGGAAAACGTCCTAGAAATCCTCCAGGAAGAACTGGGACCAAAATGGCGTCGGTTCGTCCGCCATCTTCCCGGTCCCCGACAGGTGATAGACGTCGACATCGAGAGCATCAAGTCGGCCCACCCCCTGTACCGGGAGGACCAGATCTACCACGCGCTGGCGCTGTGGAGGAAGCGGAACCCGCAACACGCGAACGTGGACAGCATTCTCACAGCGCTGGAGAAATGTGGGCTTCTCGGCATAAGAGAAAAGGCGCTAAGGGTGCTTGGGAGAAGACCGTATGCTACAGTGTAGTTGCCTGGGCCATACTATCATGGATAGTTGATATATGAGGAACGGACTACGTGTTGATAGACAGTACTTATAACTACTGCTGGGTGTAGAAGCAGGGATATAAATTCTTCTCTGGTATCAACTGTTATCAAATGTAGGATTTACAATGAATGTTTCTAAACGAGATATCCAATTTAATGAATGAATTTTTGTACTTTTTAGATATGTTTACTTTATACCGTGCCTACGCTTATTTGTATCTCATAAAAATATGTATTTTAACGGACTCCTATAGTAGGATTTGCTGTATTGAGACACAATGCATAAAAGCCTAGTATTCTTGACCAATAAAGGCAGAGGACTGATTTATCTTTGGCTACATTTGTTGACCCAGTACGTATGCCGTGTCAATATAAAGTTGTTGTTTGTACTAAAGTTTCACTCAGGCGGCGACCGGCGACCATTGCGCGACCCAAACTGTCAATATCTGTAAAGTCTATTTCGTAATCTTTGTTCTTAAGCGATACAGTCCTTTTGCATCATGAACCATATTCATTTCGTATAGCTACAGTACAAATCTAAGCTGTCGTTCAACGGTCTTAATCAAGTAGAAAGCTAAGGATGTCTACATTGTATCCAGAACAGTCTATCAAGTTCTATGCCTGAATTTGTTAGGGTTATGGGAATAGACACGATTATGGATAGTCTCGATCCGCGTCTAAGAACGTTGTCCCAGGCACGGTTCTGGATACTATCCAGATCCGTGCTTGAGAATGATTTTGGACAAAGCACGGTCCTGGATACAACAATGTATATATCAGGTATCGAGCTCTTCAGATAACAACGGTATCGGGGTCACGTAACACTTTGGTCACATGGTCCACACTAAGGGCAAAGTTTAAAGTCCAGGTGCTGCGGCGGAAGAAAAACAACCATTCTCAGTGAAAGAAAAAATACCGTGCTTCACATAGAGCAGATACGCCTGATGTCCTGATCACTGATCATGATTAACACTCAGAGTCATCCGCGGCTCACCGCGACGCTAGCGGCGGTTGCTGTTGGGCTGGTCCTGGCGGCGTGGACGGCGGTGTCTCCCGGGTTAGTGGTCTGGTTGAAAGAGAACGTCGAGCCGCTTGTTGCGGTAAGTAGTGATGATATTAACAGGAAAACATCGTATTCAGTGAAAACTTTAGGGACAAGCATGGCAAGCGAAATATTGCAGTGTTCATAACAATGGAGTGACTACATTAAATTTACAAAAATACATTAAGTCTGGTAAAATCCTTCACGTTTATTATGTGCCTATCAACCCCCTCCCTTGTAACTACAGAATGAATACGTCTGATATTCGGCAAAATTAATACAATTAAAGAACGACTATTGAATGGTCAATACATATAGCTTAGATCTACATATAGTGTCGAAAATTGAGTGGTAAAATTTGTCAGGTTTATATATACATTGTATACAGAGTCATTACATTGGCATTAACCCAATGTAGACAGGAGGTATCTTAAACCTTTCTGTACCGTTATTTAGCATACATCTTTCATGCAGAAAATAGAATTAATCAAATTATTTTCTACCAATCAGAACACCAGCTTGTGGAGGAATTCCGGGACATTTTTTCAGAGCCAATGGGAGAAGGTCTACGACTGGTACGGCGGGAACGCCTATCTACTGGGAACCCTGGGTAAAAGAAATATAAGATATGAATTATTGCATGCATGATGCATAAATCTAGGAAAACTAACAAAAAATTTCAACCACCTAGGTGCCTAATTACCTTCTTCAAGGAGGCTAGTGTTAGGTACACCATATAGAGGTTGGCAATTTTTAACCGATTATAGCTTGGAGTCTGGTGCATCATCTTTTTGATATTTGGTAGGTAGGTTGGCGTTGGGACAACAAAGGTCAATGATGGGTAATCTAGCGGCTTTGACGGTACTGCAGCGGTGTACATGCATGAGTGTGATATCTCGTGTTGCAATTTTTTTTAAGTGGGACATAGGCGTTTGGGCAACAGGTGCTAATACCTCGCGTATTTTTGCAATGGTACATAGGTTATAACGGTTATCTTTTCGGTACAATTTCACAGGTAGTACCAATGTGTATGGCCTAACTTTTGTGGTTCTGAACTCCTTGTACCTGTACATGGACATCACGGGGCGACCGGCTGCCTTGGTCAAGTACAAGATACAACCGGACGTCAATACACCGCCGGTAGGTACCTTAGAATGTTAAAGTCTTTGCATTTCTCTCGTTCTCTCTCTTTCTCCCTCTCTCTCTCTCTCTCTCTCTCTCTGTGTGCATGTACGTGTGCGTCCATGTGCAGTTATATATTACTCTTACCACTATTCTAATTTTGTCGAATTGTGTCGAATTTTAGGTTGAGCCTGCCATCCTGCGCAAGGTCGCACTCCAACTACCAATCACCGCCCTCGTTACATTTGTCGCCATCTGCCTGGCCTGGCCCATTCTGATGTGGCGGGGGTGTGACTTTGGACGAGAGCTTCCGTCCCTTTGGAACGTTCTGGTGGACTTTCCCGCGCTGATGCTGGGGGAAGAAGCCGGGTTCTACTTTTCTCACAGGTTCAATTTAATCCTTTACTTTTCTTTTCTAAAGAGACTTTTTGATGTAATACAAATGTTTCAGAACAGTTTCATTTACATGCAACTGATTAGATGTTATATGTTTGTTCTGCAAGAAAATTATTTTTGACGTCATAGCGTTGTTATCATTTCTATGTTCATTTTATAGTTACAAGATTTCTGTATATGTATCTGTATAGCCGGTATAACAGCCTTTCGGCGTAACGCACCAGCTTCGCAGGCACGCGTCGCGGCGGCAGCTGGCTGCATTACCCCGATCGACTTGTTACACCTAACCCTTGAACATCTAACTCTAGGCATTGTTTAAAGCTATCTAATGGCAATGCCCCTACTATACTTGGTGACAGCGAGTTCTCTGCGATAGTTCTAGGATTTGATTCTAGGTTGTAATTTCTTTTTTCATTGTATAGTTACAATATTTGATTCTAGGTGACCTGCCATTCACCGTTAGGTGTTGTTTACCTACGAACATCCATTCGTTCATTCACTTGTTCACTTATTATTTTCCAGGATTTTGCACCACCCGTACTTGTACAAGCGAATTCACAAGAAGCACCACGAGCTAACGGCGCCCGTCAGTATCGCAGCTCCGTACGCCTATCCTGTAGAATCGGTTTTCTCCGGGGTTCTTCCACCGCTGCTGGGACCACTGGTCACTGGTGAGTTCCCATGTACATGCACTATGAATTAACCACTATAAAAATGGTGGCAACCTACGTCATCAAAATGCTTTCTTACAGTTTCGATGTATATAAACATCGTAGGTTTCCTGTAACGTTTACTAAATGTTTTGCGGTTGGGAACGCATTATTACTGACAACTGTGCTATGCAATGTGAACCAGTCAGAATTTCCCTAAAGGAGGGTGACAGACGGTCACCGAAACGTCAGCTTTGAATAAAACACTTGGTTGTGTAAGAATGGTCTCTTGATTCAGTGACGTACCAACCTGATGAAACTATTCACAGATTGATGATGATGATGATGATGATGAAGATAATGAAGATAATGATAACTAGAAGAGTAACATTTTCAAGCAAATTTTACTTTTCTAGTTATCAAACACAACCACATATATTGTGACAGGAGTCTAATTCCCTCCCACTATAAAATTGCAACATTATGTAACCCAACACCAGTTACCATGGTGAGAGACTGTCTGGTTCAGTCAGGTCAGAGGTCACTGTTTGGAGAAGAAGAGGAAGAGGAAACGTAGCAAAGTCAAAAAATATGTTTTCCTTCGGTAAACATATTTTGTTTACTGTTGTTGGTGTTTATGTCTATCTGTACAGGGCACGCCTGTAGAGCAGTATATTGTACTTAGTGCGCCTACCCTGTATAAAGAAAACAGAAATAAATAAATAAATAAATGAATGAATAAATAAATAGATAAATAAATAAATAAATAAATAAATAAATAAATAAATAAATAAATAAATAAATAAATAAATAAATAAATAAATAAATAAATAAATAAATAAATAAATAAATAAATAAATAAATAAATAAATAAATAAATAAATAAATAAATAAATAAATAACGTCACATTTTCCAGGTTGTCACGTGAGCACCATCTGGTTGTTCGGCTGCTACGGTCTGTACATCACCGTCACCGATCATTCCGGATATGACCTGCCCTTCAACGTCCGGTCTCCTGAGTTCCACGACTTCCATCACTCTAGGTAAGCACCATTACGAACGTTAACGTAATTTCCAAGCAGATTTATTGTAAGGCAAGGGACGATCAAATTGGCCACCTGAGTTACCATTTGACAGCTGAGGCAATTCGATCGTCCTTTTTCCCCAAAGAAATATATGAATCATTAGTATCTGTTTAAAAAAGAGTTCAAAATATTTCATATCTAGCTATACCAAAAATGTGGCTACATTGGATCCTTGTTTTGAAACACGCTGCTCATATACATTGTAATTGTTGAATTGTTGAAATATGCTACTAAATTTTACCCAATTCATTGACTTTTATATTGTTGAAAGTCTGACACCGATTCAGTCAGTTGACTGCCAAATGTCAGATTATGTGAAACCAATCATCTCTATCCCATCTCACCTCAAATCTACTTGGCGATTACGGAGAGAGAAGGGTTTTGTTTTGCACCGTGTCTATTAACTTAGCCTGGACACCGCCATATATACATACATTTCTGGCATCATGACAACCTATCCTTCAACTGGCAAATAATGACGGAAAGTTTACAATCGTTTAATCGTTTAAAAGTGTCTGAACTGAATCAAGTTGTTAAGTTTAAATTAACCTGTCTTTCCTCCCAGGTTCAATTCTAACTTCGGCGTGTACGGTTTGCTAGACGGCCTGCTGGGGACCGACTCGGCCTACCGACAGTACAAGGCCGCGGCGCGTCACAAAACCCCAAATGGTATCACTCCGCCCTCGAACTCAATCCCAAATGGCAAGAAACGAAAGTAGTCTATGATTATAACAACAAGAACAAAAGAGAAAAAAGGATGGTAGGACGGAAATGTGATAACTACCCAAGCCAAATATTAATGTATTTAAAAATGGAATACATATAATTAGTAATTTGTCACTTTTTGACTAAGTTTAGTTATGATGTAACAATTGAAACATTGTGACTATTACAATAGAAGTAAAAAATTGTACGTAAGAACAATTTTAAGATGAAAAAATTCTTCTAATACACTACTACTATTGTCCTGAGGAAACTAGTACTAGTACTAGACTCTTTATTGACTAAACAAAAAGTACAGGGACTTTTATATGGTCTTCTACAACTAAACATCTAACAAAACTAAATGGATTTTTTGAAAATATCATAACTTTGGTTTTGTCTTTGTTTATTGATAACTTCCGCAAGGAACAGAATTGGTCGAGTATTACATGCACGCCATCTGGCAGTATTGAGAACAACTGCAGGGGGCAGACGTCTGACGACTATACTAGTGATGAGTAAGCAAGTTAGTAAACAAGTGCATCTATCGAACAGATCTAGATACGAACTAAAAAAATCTGGCATATGGCACAAAGTAACATTCTTATGAATCATCAATATTAGTGAAATAAAAGTGATGTGCTTACAGCGCAAATCTTGGACAGAACTTAGAGGGTATGTGGTCAGCACATTTTAGACGCCGCTGCACAAATGAGTACACTTAAGAATGTATCCTAGGGCTCATTGGTATTCAGTCTTGCCTCGGGATGTTGCAAGTGACCGGCCAGGTCATCTTCAGCAATAGGCGGAGATAGTCAGCAATAGTCAGCAATAGTCTGAGAATATATGTTACCGTGCAATCTACAAGTCTACCTTTGCCTACACAGTGTGCGTTTTCCAAAATTTTATCCACTAAACCTCAGCTCTCATGGCTTGGCTTCGTTTCCGAAGATTTCGGGGGCCCTTACTAGTACAGAAGTAAACATGACGTACTACTGACGTGTGGTATTCCGTCCTGCTGGATCAGTTCTGTGCAGAGCCCTGAGGGAGGACAGTCTGGGCACGTCGGCTAGATAATGTTGATGATAAGATCTTTTGATAATAGGTAAGATCTATTGATGATAAGATTTACTGATGGTAGATTAGAATGTCCTTGCCGAGGCTGACACCGGGGCACAGATTAGAACAACGACGCCACGGTGGGAGGACTTGTGCACAGGCGCTCCAAGAGAGATTCGCCCAACTGCGTCCGACTCCAGTCACTACACGAAAAGTCGGATTTACCACAAAGGTAAATGTGATGTAAAGCCCGGTAAAGGTTACATTGCTTACCGTAGTTCCGTTGCTTAGACGTTTTCGCCTCGGTACACACAGTCTAAACCAAAGCTTATTCTTTCATAATTTAGTTTCAAGTCCAGCCTGTTCCTGTGGTCACCCATGTGAAAACATTAGTCACTTTTTGTTACACTGCCCTAACTACACTCAACAACGAAATACCCTTTTTGGCAACTTGAAAACACTGATTGGCTTTATCACTGACTTGTATAATCTTTCAGATGATATTCTGGTACGTTTAATGTTAAGAGGTTCTTATTTTCTGTCAACAATGTACAATACTCAAATACTACTACATGTGCAGGCATTTTTGTTAGAATCCAATCGTGTTTTGTAATATCTTGATCAATTCTGTCAGTATTTATATATTTGTTTCACATGTTCATCGATTAATTATTGTATTCAACTTCTATATGAAAACTCGTGCTCTGCTTGCTTGTATTACGTATTGTCTGGTGGTGACATGAATACAAGTGTAACTTGAGTGTGTCGCCACCACGTCTTGTCACTGTATGTTTCAATAAAAAAATGTTACATTTACTGGAGGCTTACCCGTCGGTAAATGTACAACTTTACCACAGATATACCAGTATGGTAAAGCGGGTAATGTTTATCCGATTTACCCACATTATATAATTAACAGCTTCGGGTAAAGGTGCATTTAGCGAGATTTACCTTACGCGGTATTTCTCACATATATTTAGGGCATTTAGCGAGATTTACCATACGGTTATTCCTCACTTGCGTTTAGTCCATTTACCGAGATTTACCGGGTGGAATATTTCTGACATTTTGTCAAATTTACCCATATTTACGCTATATTTACCAGATTTGCCGTGCCTTTACCAGAATGCTGCACTATAGCCCCCCCCCCCCCACACACATTTAACTTTGTAGTTCGCCAATCACGCTGAATAATCATATAATAAGGTTGAATTACAAGCACAAGAACTGGGTTTTAGGGAGAACTGAGATACATTTATTGGATAAACATAGCAAGACATTGACAGTAACATGTTCTAAAAGGAATGCTGCATTAGCCATTACAAATCATTTATTTATAGTTTTACCTCATACAACCCTTTTCTCCCAGACATATAATGATCAATGAATGGCCACTGTCCTGTACTAACATATATGTATACAGTGGGCAACAGTATGCAAGAAATAATTACATGCAGCATTTATTGTGAATGACAATTCTCATACAGAATATCTGCAGACACAATCTAAATATATACTAGCTTCAATCGTAGTGTACTGAGAAATACATCGATGTCCTTTGAAAAAAATGTATCGAAGACGTCGTTTCCTAGTTTCAACGCTTACATGAAATAAGGCTTAAAGCCTTTAACAGGAGCGCGCCCCTGAATAAGGCCTATGGTGCAAAGTAACATTCTTATGAATCATCAATATTACTGACATAAACAGCGCAAATCTTGGACAGAACTTAAAGGTTCTGTGTTCAGCACATTTTAGACACCGCTGCACAAATGAGTACACTTAAGAATGTATCCTAGGGCTCATTGGTATTCAGTCTTGCCTCGGGATGTTGCAAGTGACCGGCCAGGTCATCTTCAGCAATAGGCGGAGATAGTCAGCAATAGTCAGCAATAGTCGGAGAATATATGTTACCGTGCAATCTACAAGTCTACCTTTGCCAACACAATGTGCTTTTTCCCTTATTTTATCCACTAAACCTCAGCTCTCATGGCTTGGCTTCGTTTCCGAAGATTTCGGGGGCCCTTCCCTCTCCTCAGCTAGTACAGAAGTAAACATGACGTACTACTGACGTGTGGTATTCCGTCCTGCTGGATCAGTTCTGTGCAGAGCCCTGAGGGAGGACAGTCTGGGCACGGCGGCTAGACAATGTTGATGATAAGATCTTTTGATAATAGGTAAGATCTATTGATGATAAGATTTACTGATGGTAGATTAGAATGCCCTTGCCGAGGCTGACACCGGGGGACAGATTAGAACAACGACGCCACGGTGGGAGGACTTGTGCACAGGCGCTCCAAGAGAGATTCGCCCAACTGCGTCCGACTCCAGTCACTGCACGAAAAGTCGGATTTACCACAAAGGTAAATGTGATGTGAAGCCTGGTAAAGGTTACATTGCTTACCTTAGTTCCGGTCCCCGCTACTCCTGCTCTTTACTTACACGTTTTCGCCTCGGTACACACAGTCTAAACCAAAGCTTATTCTTTCATAATTAATTTCAAGTCCAGCTTGTTCCTGTGGTCACCCATGTGAAAACATTAGTCACTTTTTGTTACACTGCTCTAACTACACTCAACAACGAAATACCCTTTTTGGCAACTTGAAAACACTGATTGGCTTTATTACTGACTTGGATAATCTTTCAGATAATATTCTGGTACATGTACTGTTAAGAGGTTCTTATTTTCTGTCAACAATGTACAATACTCAAATACTACTACATGTACAGACATTTTTGTTAGAATCAAATCGTTTTTTTTAAATATCTTGATCAATTCTGTCAGTATTTATATATTTGTTTCACATGTTCATCGATTAATTATTGTATTCAACTTCTATATGAAAACTCGTGCTCTGCTTGCTTGTATTACGTATTGTCTGGTGGTGACATGAATACAAGTGTAACTTGAGTGTATCGCCACCACGTCTTGTCACTGTATGTTTCAATAAAAAATGTTACATTTACTGAAGGTTTACCCGTCGGTAATTGCGCAACTTTACCACAGATATACCAGCATGGTAAAGCATGGTAATGTTTATTCTATTTACTCATATTGTATAATTACCAGCTTCGGGTAAAGGTGCATTTAGCGAGATTTACCGTACGCGGTATTTCTCACATATATTTAGGGCATTTAGCGAGATTTACCATACGGTTATTCCTCTCTTGCGTTTAGGCCATTTACCGAGATTCACCGGGTGGAGTATTTCTGACATTTAGTCAAATTTACCCATATTTACGCTATATTTACCAGATTTGCCGTGCCTTTTACAGAATGATTTTGCACTATACGCCCCCCCTATGTATACCCACATTTACCCTTGTAGTTCGCCAATCACGTTGAATAATCCCATTGAATTACAAGCACGGGTTTTAGGGAGAACTGAGATACATGTATTGGATAAACATAGCAAGACATTGACAGTAACATTTTCTAAAAGGAATGCTGCATTAGCCATTACATATAATTTATTTATAGTTTTACCTCATACAACCCTTTTCTCCCAGACATATAATGACCAATGAATGGCTACTGTCCTGTACTAACATATATGTATACAATGGGCAACAGTATGTAAGAAATAATTACATGCAGCATTTAGCATGAATGACAATGAATATCATGAATCAATTAGATATCAGAGTTGATATTTAATTGATACCTCATACTAGCTTTAGTAAGGTTTTGGTAGGTTTTGAAATGCCCCTTGTTCTACGGTGTCTAATTCCTTGCCACTACCGGTTTCATGTCCTACTTAGATATCGTATATAGCGTACGTTGGAAAATTCATATCTGAATCACTACAAAAGCGACACCATACTGTAAATAACTGATATATCTCTTGAATTACAGAATGCAATAATACTCTTCCTAAGAAAACACAATAGATTAGCTTTAGTATCATTATGGACTAGCTTGTTAGAATTATATTTTAGTATATTAGTTTGTGTATGTCCCTTGTTGTTTCTTTGCCATACATTGTACCAGCTACAGTTGCTGAGCAATAAAGTTGATTTGATTTTATCCAGTTGCTTGAGTAACTGCTTATTACCTGGATGTCTATCCTTCATCGACAATAACAATCCAATATGGTGGCCATGAATCGTCATACTATCGTCAAACCAGAGGAATAACTTCATACAGGACTGGCAATGAAAACATACATTGCCATGGCAACGGTGGTTGCTGTTAGGGTTATTGCTTGCATGACGCTGCCATTATTTCATGATTTTGAGGAAGCCTTGGTACCTATACACTCCTCTGAGTGCATAGTGAATGAGCCCCAGGATCACAGAAAGTACATGAAGGGCATCCGGGGCAGGCAGTTTCTCCCAATGGTTTCCAGGAATGTGGGCATGTCAACAAACAGAGCTGGGAGACATTCCTGAGAACATTTCATGCCTGTGGCGAAAATTCCTGTACAATTCCTAGAATGCTTACGAAATACACACAATACTGTACCATATAGGCTCCTCCCTTAGACGTCGCCAAAAACTGGTAAAATACGGTGGAGTTACAGTGTTTTTTCTATTCCTACAAGCACAGACAATGTATCCAGAGCGTTAGAAATGGTCCTAAGAACATGCACACTGTATATTAGCCCAGGAAGCGGTCGGTTGTGGTGTTTAGGCATACCGATACTTTCATGATGTGTTATCTCTAAGTATGGTTACCACTGTGATTTGACCTGCTCTGATTAGGAAGAATTCAGATTTCAGCACTTGATCAGTTCTTGCCCTTTGTTTATATATAAAACCAAGAAAAGAGTGTTTCCTGAAGCTCCACCAGTTTGTGAGTTTTTATATTTGCAAAGTTAGGAAATGATTTTTAAAAGATCTGGAATGACCTTTGTTTTTTTAAGTACTAGATTCTATTTACAGTGACAATAGAATCGAATTATAATACGTTGACATTTTAATTGACTTTCAGTTTCCTTCTACTTTTCCAACATAAGATCAAGAAGATGTCCCAAGAGGTGACTCAGTGCCTGACATACGTGAATTATGGCATGCTGACGCTGTTTGGCTACTTCAGAGACTATCTAAGGAAGAGTGGATTGGAAACAACACATTCAGCTATAGAAAGGAAAAAGATGAAGGTAACGGGAGGGATCCTAATTCCGACCCATGTTCCATGCAAACGCACATACCTTTTGTAATAGTTTTTCTGACCAAAAACCCACCCAACACGAGCTTTAACATTGACAGATAAAGATAACGACGATTAAAGCTGCACAGCTGTGTATTTCACTTCAGTGCAGCTGCTCCAACCCATAGCATATTGAAAGTAGGTACTGCATTGAAGTGTTTTGGTAGGTATGTCAAACTTTCCTGCTCAAGCATTGGAATGCGGGACATAAATTCCTTTTTTATCTTGAAAATCAACAGTTTGCATTATGCAGTTAGAAATCCTAATCAATAAAGTAGGGAATAGCTATCCAACTGTTGTATTCTTCGATGTAAAACATTTTCCCTTGTATTCTCCTTCTTTCCCTGCCATGTCGTAAAATGTGGTGAAGCCATGCTGAATTTGCTCCAAGGCAAATGTCGGCCTTTCTAGTTCTGTTTGATTTGTATACTGTGCATTGGGATTAACGTTACTTAAGACTTTTCATATGTTAAAGTTTATTTTGACATTGTAAAATCAATGTTTTCCCCTAGGATTTTGTTCCCTTGTACCAGTCCTTTGAGAGTTTCGTCACCAGGAATATTTACATGCGAATCAGGGACTGTGGCAACAGGCCAATTTGCAGTGTACCGTCTGCAGAGTTTGATGTTTTAGAGATGGTTAGCGATGATGGCAACTGGCACCTGAGGTGATTTGTAATTAAGCCATGCAGCAACTAATTAATGTTCGTAATACTTCATTTATAGACTGTCCTCTCAAATAGGGCTTGACTAGATTTATGAACTTCAAGGTACATATAACGTTAAGAAGGTAATGAAGGTAATGAAGAAATGGGATGATTGTAAGGTATGGAAAGTAACCGTGAAGATTTTTTTCTCGGAGAAAGTTTTCAAATGATGAAATAAAATCAGTTTAGGCTAGTTTTGTTGGTTGATTAGAAACTAGGGGTATGCTCCATGCAGTATTTGAAAGTACATATAATGTACCACCAAAGTACTATGTTGTAGTGAAATCCTATCAACAAGTTGGAATACTTCATCAAGCTGCTTACAATTTTTGCTTACACTTTTTGAAATCCTTTCTACCAGGCTTACAGGCAAGTCAAGGCGATGTGTGAATGTGGCCTCCTACAACTACCTGGGGTTCGCAGAGAACACTGGTCCTTGTGCAGATGCTGCAGCAAAGGCCTTGCAGCAGTATGGAGCAGGAGTCTGCAGCACCAGACAGGAACTGGGTAAGACTAACAAAATGTTTTATCTAGTGAACTGTTACTAAGGCTTGCATCTTCTTCACTTGTAGATTACCTACATTTATACACCATAATGGTAATTACTCATGAGCCTACATGTACATAATACAGATGATTTTCTTCATTGATACATGTAGTTGCATGTATATTTTGTAAATTTGTATAGGTGTCTAACAAACGTACTGACACTGACAGATGGCTGTATTGGATAACTACAGGACATTACAGTATCCATGAGGAACTTGAGCAGACAACAGCCAGGTTCCTGGGCGTGGAGGATGCTGTCACCTTCGGCATGGGTTTTGCCACCAACTCCATGAACATTCCAGCCCTCATGGGTGGGAAGGTAGGATAAGGATAGAGCTCTGTTCTGAGAATGTTGCTGTAGCTGAAGTACAGCCATAGTTACTTATATAACGTGCAGGCAGTCGTTTGTACAGCTGGGTCAGTGTGATATTTTCCACCTAGAGTTAAGTCTTGTTATTGACTTGTCATATGACCACAGGGATGCCTTATCCTGAGTGATGAGAAAAACCATGCATCTCTTGTGCTGGGGGCTAGGCTGTGTAGTACTGTCATCAAGGTCTTCAAACACAATGGTGAGCATATTGGCACAAAGTCATGCTGGTAATGAACATACACACATCTAAGTAGATCAGCCTGATTTGGGATATTGTTTCAATTCAAGATCGTGTTTGTGTTTGAGTTTGTGATAAAGTAGTGCAAGTATATTAAAATATTCACTTTCATGTGTTTAAGTTTGTGATAAGGTAGTCACGTACACGTACAAGTATTTAACATTTACCATCAGGTGGAAGCAGTAGTAAGGTTTGATAAGAGACATAAGTCTTTTAGTTAACTCAATTAACCTAGCTATATGCTCTACCTGTATCATCGTTAGATATGGAAGATGTGGAAAGGAAACTGAGGGAAGCGATCATACACGGCCAGCCGCGGACACACCGTGCCTGGAGGAAGATCCTGATCATAGTGGAGGGGATCTACAGTATGGAGGCCTCCATCATCAAACTGCCGGATCTCATCCGTCTCAAGAAGAAGTACGGAGCCTACCTGTACCTGGACGAGGCCCATAGCATCGGGGCCCTGGGGCAGACAGGCAGGGGGGTGACTGAGTACTGGGGTGTGGACCCTAGGGACGTGGACATCATGATGGGGACATTCACCAAGAGCTTTGCTGCAGCAGGGGGATACATAGGAGGATCAAAGGTCAGAATTAGTTTCGTAGCAGTGCATTTTTTTTTATTCTCAGCAGAAGTAATTGAATACAATTTGATAGATTTGTATTTTTCATGATGTCTTTGTGAGATAAAAGTATGGAATGTTTTCATCCTGTGCTCTCAGCGGTTGATCAACTACCTCCGAGCGTACTCTCACAGCACCACATATGCCTGCTCCATGGCAGCTCCTGTGGCACAACAGGTCATCTCTTCCATGAAGATTATTATGGGTGAGGATGGTACAAACAGAGGTAAGCTTTTCCAGTTTTCTGCATTGTAAAGAAAAGAGACAATCATGAATAGGATTTAGGATACAGGTACATGTACATGTAAGAAGAAAATCAATTATTATAGCGAGTATTCTGACCATTTTCAGGTACAAATAGTAATTCTAAAGTTATTCCATGTCGAGATACTAGTATCTGTTGATGAAACAACAGTACTTTTAACTATTTTGTGTGATTGCCTTGATCTCTCTGCTGTCCAGGTCAACTTAGGATCAAGCAGCTGGCAGCCAACACCAAGTACTTCCGGCAGCGACTAGTGGAGATGGGGTTTATTGTGTATGGAAACGACGACTCGCCCATCGTGCCTGTCATCATCTGCATGCCTGCAAAAATTGCGTGAGTACATGAAAAACTGGAAACTTTAAATTTGGTGTCTGCTTCCACCATGTGTGTTAGTCGAAAGAAAGAACAGAAAAAAATGTAAACAGGTGTAAAAGTCACACCAAAACTTTTCAGTGTCGTGTAGATTGGCCACGTGAAGTAGGATCTCTGTTTACATCTCTGTAAAGACTCTTTTTATCATTGCTACAATTCAAGTCACCAAGGTGACCTATTATTTGAGTCATTAATAGTGCACACCCATGCTACCCAACCAGCTATTCCCATTTTGGCCTCCGGCCAGCTTTTTGAGAAAGCTTTCTTGTTTCTACCCTGCCCGCAGAGCTTTTAGCCGGGAGCTTCACCAGCAGAATGTGGGGGTACCGGTTGTGGGCTTCCCCGCCACTCGCCTTATGGAGTCCCGAGCACGTTTCTGTCTGTCCGCTGCCCACACACGAGAAATGTTAGACAAGGTAGGGCTTTTCGGTACCCACTCCCTGGCTCATGTCTCCAACTTGCAACCAATAATGAAAGGGAGACATGCCATTTTATACCAAGCTGTAAAATTGTTGTTAGTAGTGTTATCCAGTCAACATACTGTTACAGGTTGATGTAATGTAATGTAAGTAGACGATGATTTTGCAGCACATCAAATGAACAAGCAAGAAGCATACCTGGATTGTGAATTGACTTCAGGGAGTTGAGCTGTGGGAACCTTGTTTGTAGAAGAACAATGATGTATATATTGGAGCAGTATTGCAATTTCAATTCTTTTTCTAAGGTGATCACCTCAACTGAGGATCATATTTATTTATTTATTTATGAAGATTTACCACATTTGTGGAAGGATTGACATAACAGGTGACTATCACCTTTTCAATTGACTGAACAGTCATTGCCCCACACACATAAATACCATCATCACCAGTGGGATATAAAACCGTTCTACCCTTCCTTTACTATCTAGGATGTCTTATTTGATCTTCTGATATGTGGATGTTATACTACGGTAGGTTCTGGATGCCATCAGTGATGTAGGAGACCGTCTGCAGCTGAAGTACTCCCTCAACCCTACAACAAAGGCAGCGTCTGCTGAGGAGTGCTACAAGCAGGTGGACAGCCTGGCACACGAGGAGTGATGCCCTGACTGGTCACGGACATTTAGTACAATGTGCTTGTCTGAAGCAGTCTTAAGGAAAAGATGCAGTTTGTTAGTTGCAGACACGGTGTTAATGCAGCTTAGCTACATGTTTTGGAGGGAAACACCTAAAAAGTTTTTAAAAATGCAGCACAAGAATCTCCACCAATACTGAACTCCATCACTTTGTGCACCATTTACTATTACATGTACTGAACAGTTGATGACAGGAACAATAACAATGTTATGCGTTTAGAGTCAAAACTTAAGATCCAACACAAAAAAAGTTCTCTCACCTAGACCTTTCGACCAGTTTTAACACAGATGAACTTTCATGATAACAATGTTATGCATATTTTTTTTCCTTTTTTCGTTTACATTTCAAGGGATGCTTTGTGTGTTGTAACATGGTGGGAATTTTATCATAAATTGGGGTGATGTGATGTGATAGGGGACAAGACATCTGGAGGCCCAAATTCCTCTTGTTTGTTTCTTTGTTGAGTTAAATACTTTCGCTTGTACTTAGTAAAATGTAAATGCTTGTTATGGCATATGGGAAAAGTACTTTACACGACGTTCCTCTTTCCACCCTGGTTATATCAAGGATGTTATATTGTTTACATACAGTCATTATTTTATGGCAGATTAACATCACATTTTAGGGTCCTGTTTGTTTTTCACGTGTGTTTGTTGGTTTGTTTGTTTAAATTTGTTTGTTTGGTTTGCGGCACGTTGTACGTGTGTGCGTCTTTCTGGTGGTGAGTGATTTTCTATTCCCCCTTCTCCTAGAACAAAAACTACGCGTATTAGCCCTATCGGACCCTACATCTACTTGGAAAAGCCTGGGGTCACAAGTGGGCGTATGCCCTTAAGAACGTTGACCTTTCACCTTACAAAGTCCTCCATAGTCCTGTGGTTATGAAACACGTAAGAGTCAGTCCGAGCACTTGTTAGCACGTCTTACTCCAAAACTGCCGAAGGACAACATCGGATTTTTACATCCGAATCCCTCAGGGAAAGAATGGGGAAGAAAGTGGCGGTGATCGGCGCGGGTGCGAGCGGGCTGACGGCCATCAAGTGCTGCCTGGACGAGGGGCTGCAGCCCGTCTGCTTCGAGAAGGGAACCGACATCGGCGGACTCTGGAACTTCAAGGAAGAAGCCCTGCCCGGCTTTGCCAGCGTCTACCGCTCCACGGTCATCAACACCAGTAAGGAGATGATGTGTTACAGCGACTTCCCCATCCCCAAGGAGTACCCAAACTTCATGCACCACTCCTGGGTCATCAAGTACTTCAGACTGTACGCAGATAACTTCGGACTCATGAAGTATATCAGGTAAATCCGATAACATTTGACATGTAGTAAGTCTCCTAGTATGTAAGATAAGTCGAGGCCTTTTTTACACAGTAGTAATACCCCCCCCCCCCCATAGTAAACTTCACTCTTAAGACTGCGCATGTGCATTGTGGTGCACTGTGTGTGACCTTTGACCTGCGCATGCACAGTGAGTCTGAAGTGTGAGCCTCCTTACAGTATTCTTCTATTATGGTTGTGATACAGTATCAGGGAGCGAATGATGTTAGGATGACAAAGAATAATAAGCTTGGGAGAGGAGTCTGGTTGTCAAGACTTTGACCCAGTCAATTTGTGTAAAAACTCAAAACGCATTCATTTTAAGCTCAGCAATTGCAGTCCTTCCTTTATGATTACTGCCTAGTATTAAGCTGCTTCTTAGTCAAACACTCAAAGTTTGTTTGCTGCTTTGTTTAAATTTGTTTTTGTTTGCTTATAAACATTTTAATGAGCATATTGTTCCCACAGGTTTCACCACCACATAGACCAAGTAAAACCCAGAGAAGACTTCTCACAGACAGGACAGTGGGATGTCACCTACACAGACCAGGTATGTTCACTGTCATGACAAAATGTGTACTCCTACATACATGTACTATGTAACCTCTGTATACTGTAACCTTCCCATCTTTCTAACTAGTTCAAATCAAAGATACTGTAGGGCCTACAGCTATTAGCCCTGAAACTAGGAAAGGACAGTTAATACACTTTAAAAAAATAATCTGTATTTGTTCAATCTGTAAATCATATATGATTGTGTTTATTTCCAAATATGTAGACAGTGATGACTGTATGGGACACCAATACAAGCATTGGTACTGAACTTTTCATTAACCTTTTCATCTTTTATTTCAGGAGAAGAACGAGAGCAAGACTGAAGTGTACGATGCAGTGATGGTGTGTACAGGCCACCATGTGTACCCACATTACCCCAGGGACAGCTTCCCAGGGATTGAAGACTTCCAGGGGAAGACTATGCACAGGTAGGTTGTTTCTCTAAGCCGTTGAGTCCGTTTATTCATGAAACCCAAAAAAATAGCCTGCTGTTCATTGAGGTCATGAGGGAGGGGTAAGGGTCTGAGACAAGTGTCACAAAGATACAGCATTACAGGCTCCATTACTTGAGGTGAGCTATAGTAGTAGTTTTTTTACCAGTAGTTTCTTAGTAGTTGCAGTATCAGTAGTTCTATATGTACTAATTGTCTGTTTTCATACCATGTTTCTTCTGTTCCTGCAATTAGCCCTTGGGCAAGAATTTGCAATAAACAAACTATAATTATAAACTAGTAATGGGATCATTACTAGAAAGTGCTAAACAACTCCTGCAGATAGATGTGAAAATATTGGGTGTAACAGGTATTCCAGTGTACTCATAGCGAGCTGCCGCCATGCCGCATGTCTGCAAACCTGGTGTGTTTCGCCAAAGGGTGGTTATACCAGTTATTGCAGATACAGATACAGAAAGGACACACTAGCATGCTAGCAGATAAAATGTCCTATACTTTTTGTTTGTGAATTTTTTATTTACAGATAAATTGTTAGTTGGATTGGATTCCCTTATATTTAACACTTGTGTGTCAGGTTAATATATAGTATGTAAAGAATGCATTCACACAAGGCCTTTTGGAACTTTTGCCATTGTGTCACTATAAAGGATCATCAACTTCATTAAACAGCCATTCCATTTGTCGCTCTCACACCCTCTCCTCCCCACACTCAGTCATGACTACAAGGACCACCTGGGGTTTGAGAACAAACGTGTCGTCATCATTGGGATTGGGAACTCTGGGGGAGACCTGGCAGTGGAACTCAGCAGGCATGCCAAACAGGTATGTGATATTGTGTGTTCAAAAGCCCATTTTGTGTAATAAGAAGGTACATGTAGGTGTGTACATGTACATGTACATATGCCATAAAACAACTGTATATTCAATGCAAACAATGCTAAAACATTCTGATAATGCAACAGTTCTTTTACCTCAGTTACATAGTTCATGCTGTTAGTGTCAGTATAGATAAACTTGTGCATACCAACCACTCAAGGGACTATAGTGAGTTGAGTATTAGGAAGGTGAACACTGTAGAAAGGTCATACAGTGTACCACAGTCAGTGTAGCTAAGGAACCACCAAAATGCAGCCACAGGTGGTCTTTATGCAGAAGTGGTACTGTTCTTAAATGAAAGACTACAATGAAACAATATGTAAGAGAGCAATTGCATGAATTACCAACATGCCTTAACATGCTGTAAGCTTATGGCATTTGTTCTAACAGGTTTACCTCAGTACCAGGAGGGGGACATGGGTGATCAACCGCATTTCAGAGGGTGGTCTCCCAGTCGACATTGTAGGAAACAGGCGCCTGTTGCAGTGTGTGCCTGCATCAGTAAAAGAAGCCGTCAGTCGCCATCAGCTGAACCAGCGTTTCGACCACGCCTTGTACGGCCTCCAACCCGAGCACAACGTCTTCGGACAGCATCCCATGGTGAACGATGATCTCCCAAACCGCATCGTTACGGGTTCTCTTATCATCAAGCCCAACATCACGCACTTCACCAAGACCGGCGTCATTTTTGACAACGACACAGTTGAAGATGACATTGACATTGTCGTCTTTGCCACAGGTTATCGGTTTGACTTCCCCTTCATCGACAAGTCTGCGGTGAAAGTGGAGAACAACCAGGTCAACCTCTACAAGTACGTCTTCCCTCCCAAGCTGGACCCCCCCACGCTCTGCATCATTGGTCTCATCCAGCCTCTGGGCGCCATCATGCCGATCTCAGAAATACAGTGCCGCTGGGCCACCAGGGTCTTCCAGGGGACCACCAAGCTCCCACCGCAAGGCGCGATGTTTGACGACATCAGGAAGAAGAAGATGGAAATGTCCAAACGGTACTACAACACCCCGAGGCACACCGTCCAGGTAGACTACATTCCCATCATGGATGAAATCGCCGAGCAAATCGGAGTCAAACCTAACATCAAACGCCTTCTGCTGTCCGATCCTCGCCTCGCTCTCACCGTCTTCGCCGGTCCCTGTACGCCGTACCAGTTCCGTTTGATGGGGCCGGGCGCTTGGAAGGGTGCGAAGGAGGCAATCGAAACACAGTGGGACCGGATCGCGTACCCAACCAAAACACGCCCGGTTCCTGAGAGGAAGGCCAATGGGGTACCGGGCATCCTGAAACTATTGATCGTGGTGGCACTGATAGTCGCAATCATCTGGAAGCTACTTTAAAGGGACATACTTTAAAGGTTGTCTCTTGGTTCAACCTTCTCTCTGCTGCTTAACCCCTTAGCCAATACAAATCCATTGCAAAATGGCTGCCTTCACAGGATTTAGGTTAAAGCATTGTTTTTCTCCAGCACTACGGACAAATTCACAAAACCACCATCTATATGATCTACTAGCATCTTTAGAATACATGATGATGATAGAATGCATATATTGAAGGAGTTTGTGATGCACAATTCTCAGTATTGAAAAGTGACAAAAGGTACATGATAGTGAAGGATTGTAATCAGTTATGTGAATCTATATTTACAATGTTTTATTTATTTTCAAATGATTCATCTGCCTCCACAATGGAATGCAAAGGAAAAAATTAGTGTAACTTAGTGTAGTGTCAGTACCCCAGACTTTAAATGTAGAAGTGCAAATTTTCTGTAAGACCATCTGATGATAGAAGATGACCTGAAGCATAATGTGATTTTGTCAAGTATATGTATGAATTTAAGAATGTTATACTACACATGTATATAATAGTTGATATCTAATAGGCTTAAAAGTGTATTTATCAGAATACTATGTTTTTCATCATGTTAAATCATCAAAATTGTATTTTTTTTTGCATTTTTAAGAGATCAATGGAATATTTTGCAAATAAACTAGTCACAGCATACTTACTGTCTGTCATGCCAAGATAGCATACAATAGTTTTACATCTTTTAACAGTCAATCACTCAAAGTGGTAGAAATCAATGTATGTTCATTACTACTTTATCAAATTCATTGATATATGATTATGTCATTGTGTTTTACTCAGGTTTTATGTTTTTGAGTAGAAGGCATCGCATAAGCAATCTGTGCTTTTTGCCTAATACTCAATAAATATATGTGAATAAAATAAATAAATTAATATGTAATTCGAAGCATGTATACCTAATTTACAATGATGTCCAATTCGTAATGGTCATACTTTTGTGAGATTTCTAGAATGGCTGGTTACATGTGTATGTGTACATGTGTGTGGCAAGGTCCAAATTTCAATGTTCAACACAGCATGTTCACTGTGTATTGTCCCGTAGATGTTGACTCAAGTGCCAATCAATAATGTTAAAGAAGACATAGATCAAATTTGTACTTTATACATTGAAGAAACAAGTCAATTGAAAGAATAATAGACTGCCTTGTACATTTTTCATAATACTCACAATTCTCATAATGCTCACAAGATAATAGAATGTCAAAAATATAGCACATGTATTTTTTATGCTTTGGTACCAATTGCGCCGGTGCCCGTCGGGGATGTGGCCCCAGCAAAGATCTGGAGTCTGGGAGGCACCGGCTGTCGTGGTCACAATTAAAAGTTTCTTTCCAGCTGCCCTGAGAGATATGCCGAGGAAGTGGGTCCGCTAGAAAGTACAGTTTGCCGCACCCAAAACTGTACTTTCTAGCGGACCCACTCTCTCGGTATGTCATCTCTCTCTATTTGGCCAGTTTCTACTCTTTCCAGCCGCCTCCCGAAGCCTGGTAGAGGGTAGTCCCGGGGTGCTCCGGCGGGTACCCCGGCAGATGCTCCGACCCCTGTGGATGTCCGACAGGGTAGCGCGTGCTTCTCATAACCCTACAACTCGCCATCTAGGTCATTTAAGCGGGTGCGTCCTTACGGTCATTGCACTTACTGTCATTGCACTGACCTACAGCACTCATCTCACGGTAAATAATCTGCTAGTGGTACTGTGCAACCCACTACACACAAGGCTTGAACGTCAGCTTTGTTCTGTACGTCCTACCTGGCCAGATGCTCTTGAACTTCACGAATATTCTTGAATCCAGAAATGGCCAAGAGGGTCGCCATAATTGGAGCGGGTGCGAGCGGGCTGACGGCCATCAAGTGCTGCCTGGACGAGGGGCTGCAGCCCGTCTGCTTCGAGAAGGGAACCGACATCGGCGGACTCTGGAACTTCAAGGAAGAAGCCCTGCCCGGCTTTGCCAGCGTCTACCGCTCCACGGTCATCAACACCAGTAAGGAGATGATGTGTTACAGCGACTTCCCCATCCCCAAGGAGTACCCCAACTTCATGCACCACTCCTGGGTCATCAAGTACTTCAGACTGTACGCAGATAACTTCAGACTCAGCAAACACATCAAGTAAGACGGTATCTCCTTAAATACTTAGAAAGGAAGGATTTCTGCTGGCTCGTTTGCAATTTCTCTAGGCTCGTATGTTACATTTTGAGAAAACTATTAATTGTCATTTGAATGGCCAAAGATGATATTTCCTTCAACTAGGTGTTCGTCCTCGGCAATGACCAAAACATCACGTTAATTTCTCGAACAGGTACCGTTTTATTGGGAATGAACTGAATCTAATGTGGGGTGGTAGATTCTGTAGTCAAAGCTAGAAAAGCATGCTTAACTATTGCTGCGGCTGTATAAAGGTAATGAGTAACCATGTGTAAACATTGTAGCAAACAAACCAGGGCCCTGCACGTAGCGGACACATTATAGACAAGCTGTAACTGTCGGTCGTGAAGTAGTTGTCAAATAAAGGAATTGCTGAAAAACCTAACAACGAAGTTATATTGTTGACATACATATTTCTCGATGTATCCAAGTGTCAAAGGCCCACTTAACGTACGCCCCACCCTTTTATTTTCAATCTGTTATTGTGGTAATCTTTTAATGTTTTTCTTCAACTGCCTGAGGTCCTCAGATAGACCTGTTGATGAACTACACAGATCTATGATTTTTTTTTCGTTTCCAAAGATTCCGCCACCATGTGGACCACGTGAAGCCGAGACAGGATTTCTCTCAGACCGGGCAATGGGACGTTACTTACACAGATGAGGTGGGTCGAAATGATATGCAAACAATAAAATATTTCGGTTGTGTACATGTTGTGCATACTAGTACGCACGTCTCCGTTGGTGCAGCTGCGACTTCTATACTGAGATAATAAGGCCATGTTGATTAATTTTGATTATATGGATGACATCCTTTGGAAATCCCAAAACTGATGCGAGCGTGCGAAAAAAAAGTTTGGCAAAAAAGTTTCCTTCATTATGAAATGTACGTGGCCATAAAGGTTGAATAAATGACTTAACACACAGAGTACAGTATAGTATGACGAGTAATGATAGACTCTTCTCATTTCTTCACATTATTTTCTTTTCCTGAATCGATTTCGGCATTCTATGACGTTAGTATCGTCTTCCAATACTTTTTTTGCAACATAAGACATACATTCGCTCATTTTGTACAATTTACAGTATGGTCGAAAACTTTTTTTTTGGAAACGGAGGAAAATTGATGCGCGTGTGGATGTCATCCATATTATCAAATCAATGGCCTACGCACTTCCGATGTTATTCTCTCATCAGTATGTTTAGGGTTGTTGGGGAAGTATTTGTTTAATTGTAAGATGTTTATCATATGCCCTCTGTTGTGGTCTTCAGGAAAAAGGTCAGACCAGCACGGAGATGTTTGATGCAGTGATGGTGTGCATCGGGCACCATGTGTACCCACATTACCCCAGGGACAGCTTCCCAGGGATTGACGACTTCCAGGGGAAGATTATGCACAGGTAACGAAAAAGCAGACACGCGTTTTACTTCCAGTTGTCATAATTTTTACCTATTCGAGTCATGATATATTTTCAATTGTGTTTTTACAGCCATGACTATAAGGACCACCGTGGTTTTGAGAACAGACGTGTCGTTGTCATTGGTATCGGGAACTCCGGTGGCGATGTCGCTGTGGAACTCAGCAGGCATGCCAAACAGGTAGATATGAAACTCATGTGAAATAACTTAAAACGACTCCGTAAGCCATTGATTAAATCCAGAGTATTTCTTCTAATCCCCATACTTATTTTTTTTTATGTAAAGAATATTAACCTTTAACTTCACAACGCTGCTCTTGGACACTTTGTAAGGTCGCTCTAAGACACTTTGTAAGGTGAGCAAAGTGTAGCTGAAGGCAGCAGTAATAAGAAACCGTCCATGTTGCATTTTTCTGTCTTCTAAGGTCTACCTGAGTACCAGACGAGGAACCTGGGTCTTGAACCGAGTATCAGACCACGGTCTCCCCCTGGACATAGTTCAAGGTAGGCGCGCTCAGAAGGCCTTCTTCAGCTGGCTTCCCCTTTCCCTGGGGCTGAAGCTGGTACAGAACAGGCTGAACCAGCGCTTTGACCACGCCTTGTACGGTCTTCAACCCGAGCATCACGTCTTTGCTCAGCATCCGACGGTCAATGACGACCTGCCAAACCGCATCGTCACGGGCTCCCTCGTCGTCAAGTCCAACATCACGCGCTTCACCAAGACCGGAGTCGTTTTTGACAACGACACGGTTGAAGACGACATCGACGCCGTCATCTTTGCAACCGGTTACCGCTTCGACTTCCCCTTCATCGATCGGTCTGTCATGAAAGTGGAGAACAACCAGGTCAATCTCTACAAGTACGTCTTCCCTCCCAAGCTGGATCCCCCCACGTTGAGTATCATCGGTCTCGTCCAACCTCTTGGCGCGGTCATGCCGATCTCTGAGATGCAGTCCCGGTGGTCCACCAGGGTCTTCAAGGGCATCGACAAGCTCCCGCCGCAAGTCTTGATGTACGACGACATCAGACAGAAGGCGGTTGCCATGTCCAAGCGTTACTACTCATCTCCACGGCACACCATCCAGGTAGACTACGCTCCATACATGGATGAGCTCGCCGAGCAGATCGGAGTCAAGCTTGACTTCAAGCGTCTCTTCTTCTCCGACCCCCGTTTGGCCCTACAGTGCTACTTCGGGCCGTGCACGCCGTACCAGTACCGCCTGGTGGGGCCTGGGGCTTGGAAGGGCGCCAAGGAGGCGATCCAGACGCAGTGGGACCGGATCACTTTCCCGACCAAGACGCGGCCCGTCAAAGTTGGGAGGCGCGGAATGCCAGGAATCCTTAAGCTTCTCATCCTGTTGGTTCTAGTCGTGGCCATTCTTTTCAAACTGTTTTAGATGGATATAAAACCGGCCAGTAAAACACCAATATTTAAACAAACAAACAAACAAACAAACAAACAAATCAATACTATACTATCACTAAGTGTTAGCATTGCTGTTTGACAAAAAGTGCACCTGATATGGCCACATTTTTCATTCAAGCTTTAAAACAATGACATATGTTGGCGTTGGAAATATTTCTCTGTGCTTTTATGGTAGAATCACTTCCAATATTACTAAAAGCAGAAGTCTTGATGTGACGGTAATATTTGCAATATCTGATATGTTTTGACTCTCAAAAGACTCTAGCAAATACAATGGAATAACGAGAAAGTATGATTTCATAATAAGGTGGCAATTTGCTCGATAAGAACCATAAGCAAGCTGGAAAGAAACACAATCACCGTACGTGATCAGTACTTGTATAGCCGATTTAATCACCCCTCGGCATAACATACCAGCACGCACCGGCACCTCTAACTGTAAACATTGTTTAAAGCTATCAAGGGATGATGTCCCTACTATACTTTGACGCAGCCTTCCCCTTAGTTTACTAGTATTACATGTATATGTGTATGCAATTGTTACCAGCCAGTGATTCCTAATAAAAACAAGAAGCCATAGGTGACAATTCTCCGTGAAGTATTATATATTGCAACAAAAAGAAGTAGCCATTGGCGACAATTCTCTGTGAAGTGTGATAAATCGAACAAAGAAAAATTGTTTAAACGCGCGTCGGCTCAGTCATCTTAAGACGCAACAACCAATCAGAGATGCGAAATGCCGACACGTGACGGGGAAGGGCGCGCGATGCCCGAAATATTTTTGCGTCAATATTCAGCGCCGTGTTTCAAGAGATTAATACCGGGAAACAAATTCTTTTCTTGTTTTGAACGCATAAACATGCATTTACGCTAATCTAGTATGATTCAGGGTTACTTTTTTTTTACCTGCCATGGCCAGATTATCTAAAGATGTGTGTATTGTGTGTACAATCTACAGAAAGAGAAATGTACATCAGGTCCGATCATCCGATTTTCACGTTTCGGTTTTTTGGACTCGGTTCATGAACGTATTTTGGTTTGGCTCCTGGAATGTGCGAAAAAAATAGACTCCCGGGATTGTCTACAGGGAACACTCGCACATTCGCGGTGTATCAGGACAGCGCGACTGGTCGGCATTAGCGCAGTCCCTGCAATTAGTAACAGTTGCACATCAATCCGGCCGAAAGCATGATTGTGTAACACAGGCTACTTCTTCATATACCGGCTCATACTATACGACGCCTTTACAACTAGCAAATCATAAAATTACCCGATCTACTAGTACTGTATGTGCGGTTTACCAGCCCCAGACCACATCCGACCACGAGGCAGAACACATT